CACAACAAAGAGCTCACAATTTGACACAACTACACATTAATTTTCTAATTTTAGTATCCTATACAGCTACTCCCGCCTCTTTACTACCTCTACTGCACTGCCTTCTGTTGCAACCTGGCCTAGTATTATGTTGTATGGCACCAGTTGGTTATGAGTGGCCCCAATAGCTGGGTTCCAGGTGCTTCCAAGACAACTGGGTCTGGGTGGCACACAGGATCTCCTTAGCTCAAACACATATAACATGCAACTGCATACAATTTGGCCTCCCCTTTGGCCCATGTTCTTATCTCTGAAATCAGATTCAAGTGCATTCCATTTTCAACAAGAAAGTCTGACTTCCAGCATCTTGGGGCTATTACCTCCCTAAAGTATTACTTGGAGCAATTTACCACTCTGATAGCTTAACTTTGACCTTGACATCAGTAACTGTATTGGGGTGGAATCTGAAGAGCCTGTGCAAAGAAGCCACCCTTCATTATTATTATTATTATTATTATTTACAGTCACTGTCAGGCATGGGCTTTAAAAGAATGATATGGGCAATTTAAAAGCCAGTTTAGGATTTTCAGTTAGTATTATGTTAACTGCATTTTCATTGATCCATTACAGGTTTTTTCTAAATAACCTATAGTTTTTCTTCTCATTCCTTATATTTAGGATGTCTTTTTTCTATTAACTTCAGTGCAGATTTACAAGCACTTCGGCCATATTAAGACCAGTTTTCCTATAACAACATATATTACATATACGGTAGGTTTCCTGCTTTTCCTATCTTAGCTGTTTAATGTTAGCATAATTATAGCATAGCTTTGGGGAATCAAAATCTGTTTTTCTTGGTGTTAAAAACTTTGTTTCCCTGAAATTATTCTAAAATATGAGAACCTGTTGATGAGTGAGGCAGATCTTTATGGTCCGATGTCTCTCTCCAAAAACTGTTTTCAGCACTTCAAAAACAATCCATTTATTTTTTTTTTTTTTTTAACATAACCACCAACATACATATTTTGCTGTGGTGCCCTTTTCTTTAAAACCCACTAGAGATCATGTTGTTTGCTGTTGTTGTAGCTATGCTGGTCCCAGCATATGAGAGAGACAAGGTGGGTAAGGAATTTTCTTCTATTCCTCCACATCTGCTGGTAGTAGAGACAAGCTTTTGAGCAACACAGAGCTCTCTACACAATGACCTGAAGAAGAGTTCTGTGTCGCTCAAAAGCTGTCTCTTTCACCAACATAAGTTGGTGCAATGAAAGATATTACCTCACTCACCTCTTCTCTCTCTCAAGAACATGTGTGAGTTCCACAGAGAATGGTTTGGTACCTCAGTAAGACTGAAGAAATAACTGGATGAGGGATAGGGAAAGGATACACTGAGGAAGTTTACTGGTGGACAGTTTAGAAGATGAGGGTGATATGAGAAGAAGAAAGGAATGAAACTGATTGCAGGGCAGAATCAGTTTTATTAGCCAATGCTGATATGACAAACTGAGAGGGCAAAGGGATCCAGTTGTAATGGTCTAATGAGAAATTCCAACATCATCAACAGACTGCTAGGACCCCAGTGGAGTAATAATGCTTCAGTCTTTGGGTTACCAACATTGCAGGGAATTTTAAAACAAAACAAAACTGAATTTTTTAGGAAGTTTACTTTTTTTTTTTTTAAGTCATGCAAAGCCTAAACAAAGAGACTTAGGCCCAGATCCATAAATCAATGGAAGTTAGAACCCAAAATACCTTTGTGGATTTGAGCCTTAACATCAGGTACTTTTGTCTCTAATTAAAATTTCACTATATAATTTCTTCCCTTACATTTCCCTGCAGAAAGTAATCACCTTGTCACACTAGAATAGCTCTTAAATTACTTATGTTGGAAATTTGTTTTTTATCTCCATAAAGAGCCATGAAAACCTATGGGTACTAAATAAATCTAGCACAATATATACTAAATTTTATTTTGGATACAAGGCACTTTGAATTTTCTATCCTGTAGTTAAATAACCAAATGAACCAAATAACCTATAAAGTAGGAAACTGATGCCTAATTATTAATTGTTCTAACGTAGCACTTAGAGACACCAGTACCATTGTGCTAGGCAGTGTACAAACACATAAAAAGATGTTCCCTACTTTCTTTAAAAAACAGAAAATTGATTTGTAATGTAATAAAATGTGCTGGCTAACCTCTGAATGAAAAAAATGTAAATAAAAAAATATGTTTCTTTTCTAACTTTAGAAAAGTTCAGTGAAATTAAAATTCTCAAAATGTACTAACGGTGAGTGAAAGGAAGCCAAGCACTAAATGATGTTTCAAACCTTCAAACTCCTCTTCCCATCTTGCAGATGCTCTGTAATGCAGAATATCTAAATAATCCAGGTTCAATGTTGACAACAATCTGAACGTAGGGTTTCCTAAAGGTTCTCATAGCATCCTTTCATCAAGCAATTAAAACAGGTGTCAGTCCTGTGAACACTTATGCACATGCTTAACATGAAGCATCTGAGTAATACCATTTACTTCCATGGGACAACTTGTGCTGAGTTAAGAACAAATTAATGCATGTTTGTAGGATTGGGGCCTCAGCCATTCACAGTTTGAAGGGATGCTGTCAGGTCAAGTTTGGTCCCAAATTTAGATTTTTTTAAACAAGCTTTTCCAAAATTAAGATTAACAGGAATGCTTCCATTAATTAAAAAAAAATAAAAAAACCAAACCTTCACTTGCAGTATTCATAACCAAAGCAAATCTGACTACTCTATTTTCCTTGTCTGAAGCAAGAGGAATGCAAAAAATAAACAGCATAAATAGTTAAAAGTAAATTCAGTGTTAACAGTGCTTTTTAAAAATAATCTAAAGGTGTCACCAACAAAACAACGTGATGTTTAAACTGACCATGTCCTTTAGCTAACAGGGGCATACACTATAGCAGGGGTCGGCAACCTTTTAGAAGTGGTGTGCTGAGTCTTCATTTATTCACTCTAATTTAAGGTTTTGCGTGCCAGTAACACATTTTAACGTTTTTAGAAGGTCTCTTTCTATAAGTCTATAATATAGAACTAAACTATTGTATGTAAAGTAAATAAGGTTTCTAAAATGTTTAAGAAGCTTCATTTAAAATTAAATTAAAATGCAGAGCCCTCCGGATCGCTGGCCAGGACCCAGGCAGTGTGAGTGCCACTGAAAATCGGCATGCGTGCCATAGGTTGCCTACCCCTGCACTATAGTCTGATACCGTGGGCTCTGCTGCCATCTAGTGGTACCATATAATTATTTACATAAATGAATAATTACCATATACTGCTGTTTTCTGCATGGGTGACAATTTTCTCATAACAAGTATTTGTTGCCACCATGCATGCTCATTTAAATCTAGAAAATAAATGAATGTTAGAAAGAAATACTATCTGAAATCACAGAAGGGTGCACAACAGAAGGAGGCACAGCTGGAACAATCTGTGCTCCCTCTGTTTATTCTAGGCTACTGGGCAATTACTTGTCTCTGGGACAAAACCAGCCGCCAGCTGCCCAGAATCCAGGAGGTGCAAAGGTGCATAAAGATACCATCTCTACCATTAGGGCTAAACCAAGGTCAATTCTGCCACAACCCAAAATCAGGGCCTTAAATCTGAAAATTCATTAGGCTTCAAAGTGATTGGTGTATTGTTTAGACACAGAATGAAATGGGAAAACCAAACATGAGAAGTCAAAAAACTTTTAATCAAAATTTTGCAAGTTCATTATACCACTCTAAGTGTCAATGAAGAACAGAGGCAAATACTCAGAAAATAATAAATAAGCTTTATTATAGTAATTTTTTTTAAATAAAAATGTATCACCAGCACCTATGGATATCACTTTTAAAATTCAAATTTCAAAATGAAACAAATTGCTTTCTTAAGACAATTAAAGTGAAATATGCAAGGAAATTAACACTGGTATAAAAGACAGAAACTTCCCATAGGTCTAACAAGTAACATCATAACACAAAGAATACATCTGGTAAGGAAACATCTGCAAACTCTCCTGTTTTCAAACTCATCTACATATACAGCTTTGAGTCACTCTTCATAGCTTCTGTAGTCACAGTTTGAATCATACAATAGTAAAACAAGTATTTAGATATGTAAACAAATAAAATATTTAAATAAGTAAACAAGTAAAACAGTTTAATATCTCCATAAATAAGTGAAGTAAAATATTTAAATAAGTTAAAGGACAGAAACCGACCCCTCCATTTTCAATACAAACTGCACAAAAGGACACCCTGTTCCTGAGAGTAAGTTTGTGCAAGCGGACTCCTGTGCCTGAATGGAGTCATCTCCAGATTGGGAACCTAACATTAACCCAACAGAATCCTTCCTATTAAAGCCTGTCATTGGGATGACTATTCTCTGCAGCAAATGTAAGCCTTGCAGTGTGCAAAAGCTATTTAACACAGCCCTTTGTGCAAGAACGCTTTTGGTATTGACACCTATGTGGCGCATGCCTTATGTGATCCTAGGCACAAATGCATATTTATAGGACAAATGCCTATGTTAGTAACCCCTGAGATATGAGACAATGAAGTGCAACCAGTGGACACAATCCAGCTCTCCTTGAAGTCAACTGAAAAACTCCTACTGACTTCAATGGCAGCAGGAGAGGGCATATTCTTTGCAACAAACGTTGAGGTATTACAGATCTCCCACTCTGAAATGGGAAAGAGAAATTACAGTGTAAATCACACAAAGAAACCACAGTATTAAAGCATATGCAGCTGTTACATTTCTCCTAGATAATACAAGCTTTAATGGGAGCAACTGGCTAGAGGGAAACCAGTGTCTTCCTTAAAATCAAAATCTAAAATGAAAAAGGGTTTATATTCAGTTCAGAGCTGGAAATCATTTGGACACTGTACTAGGTAGGTATCTACCCTTAAATATTTTTGTTTTGCTCTATGTCAGCTATTGGAACATTCTGCCCACAGTCACTGTAGCATTCTACACATTTGGAACATCTTCCTCTCTTTGAATGGCAACTCTCAATGAAGAAGAAGAGAAGTGGGCTAATGAATCAGTTATCTGTGTAGAGGAAGACATGCTAAAAAGTAGTCGAAGTTCACCTACCCCTTAAGAAAAATACTATCTGGCATGCTTTTAACAGCCATTCTACACCATTACTGTATGTACTGTAGAAAGTGGTAGAAGTTGATCCATTAAGTACCAACATAGAGAAAACATGTTCATCTCCTCCATTAAAAAGAAAAAAAGATTAAAGTCGTACATACGTTTTAAACTGTATGTGAAATTCACTTTTATCTCTGCAATGCACTCTTTTCATAATCCCTACAGGAAAATATTTAAAATTCACTTCTAACTTTCTTACAGGTCTTTGTAACAAATTTAAAGTTACCCAGTTTGTTTTACAACTAAAAATCTATTTGGAGCCTTCTGCAAATAGTTCATACTATTATTCTCACATGAGCAGAGATTCAAGTACATATGAATTGTCTAGTTGTTCAATTCTTAAAAATATACATTTTGTAGGAGGCATTTTCATGGATAGTTTTTAATGCTAGACCTCCCTAAAGATTCAATTTTTCATCTACATTTTGTGCTTTTTTTAATTGATATATCAGATTCTTCTTTTCCTTCTTCTATAACTCTCTGCAGAGGTGTCTTTTAAATGAATCCTCTTTTACTCTTCATCCCAAGAGATAGCTTTTAGAAAGTCAGACGGGATAAGGCCTCTCTGTCCATTTAACTCCCCATAGTAGAATCCATCATCATCCACAGACCCAAATACTGTGATGATGTCTCCAGCATTAAATGTCAGCTCACTTTCCACATCTACATTTAATGAGTTCTCCCTTGGGTTGTAGTCAAAGACAGCCACCATTGTCTTAGAAGTAAGCTGTTCAGCCTTGCTATCCTGCCAGCTATGTTCTGTGTGAGACTTATTGTTATTCTTTGTATCCACCTCCACTAAGTTAATCACAGATTTTTCATCAGTAATGGAACCTTGTTTTAACAGGTGCTGTTTCATTTCATTACTCTCCACCTGCACTTCAGACACCATATTATAGGGAATATACCCTACCCTTCCTGCATATTCACCTCTGTAAAAGCCATCAGCATCTTTATCACCAACCACCTTTAGAATCTGCCCCTTTTTAAATGGGAGCTCCTCTTCAGCTGCATCAAGATTAGGTGACATAGATATGGGATCATAGTCAAAAAGGGCCACAAATATCCTTACTGAATCATCATTAACTATTTCCTCTGAGACGAAGCTTCTCAGAGGGCCTGCTTTGGAAAATGAAGATGTCCCTGCTTGACCTATTCTTAAAGTCTTGCTCATTTTTCTGTTTTGAGCCCACTGCATGGGAAACTCTGGAAGCTCCGGCAGCCTGGAATCATTACCAACAGCTTTTATTCTATTCTCTTCCTGCGTATCTAAATCCAGGTCCTCTTCTTCCTCTTCCAAAATATCTGAAAGATCAGAACTGTGGCTGTGGTCACCAACAGGATTCAATTGCCAGTTTCCTATTCTTGATGTTTGGTCTTCCTGTATTTCACCTCTAGACATCCCTAGGCTGGGGACTTCTTTGGATAATTCTTTCGTCTGTTTCTTCTCAGTGGAAATATCTGGGACGTCCTGAACACAGATATTATGTATACCTATGTCTCTGTAACTGTCCTCCAATTCAAGCTGACTAGAACACAGCTGAGGCCCAGAACTCAAGCTGCTCGCATCATATCCCTCAATATCTTGAGTGGTTGAATCTTTCACAGACTTGTCGTCAGAGTGCACATAGTGGGTGATCATAGACATTTTCATGTTGCTAGTGTCCATTTGATTTTCAAGCACAGCTTTTTTAGTAACAAAGAGCTTTTTTATCCTCTTTCTCTGGCTGTCTTCAGCAAGTTCTTTTAATGCTGACATCCTGGAATTGACTGATTCTTCACACCATCTAGTTGGAAAGACAAGGCCTGAAGGTTGCACACTGACTGCTGTCTGCTGATAAGACTTTAAACATTTATCATCTTTATCTCTTGCTACGTTATCACCAATGTTGCACATTGCAAGCTCATGTATCAAAGAAGAACTCTGAGAGGAGAACAACTGGTGTGGGGGGATGCTTGCTGGCAGAGAAGCTACTGAGTCTCCGCAGTTGGAGGTGAAGTGAATGGTGAATTTGTTATCTTGACTGGCCATGAACATCTCTGAAGAGGGTGAAGATGTGCAGTGCATCAAAGGGATTTCCACATGCTGAGAGTCTATGAATTCCCCATAGAGTAATTCAGAGGTCAGGCTGGTAGACATAGACTTTGATGATGAACAACAACTGGGAACATTCAACATGGCTGAGGGAATCAGAGCTGGCACAGAATCAACTGACTCTCCATTGGGGGAGACAGTTCTCACAGAAACCTTCTGAGATCCTTGTAGAATCTCTAACTGGGACAGTTCTACTATGGCACTCCCAGCTGTTGGAGATATAACTTCTGTTACTCTTTGTCCATTGACATACACAGCATAACCAGTAACTCGTACCCCATTGGATGATCCTGCTGCATCAATTGTCACTGGTAGCCAGCTGATAACTAGAATGCCTGCTGAGGGATCAGGCTGTACTTGGACATCAAGTGGAGCATCAGGTGGTCCCGCTGATGGAGTAATGAACTTAATCATTGCTGATTTCTGCTCCCATTTCTCTTGAGGCAAATCCCATACCGTCTTCTGAGGCTGTGTTTCCACTTTTGCATTGTATTGAGTGTTGGGTTGCAGGTTATGGAAAGTGTACCAGTAGATCCCTGCCTTTGTCACATCACACTCCTTCTCATTAAGGTACACTGCATGAGTGTAGTTGCTACTGCTTGGTAACCAGGTGACCTCTGCTGAAGTGGCAGTGATGCTCCTAAGTTTCAGAAGTGCTGGTGCTATATGGAAACCATGCCCTACAAGGAAGGTACATTGCATCTTATCCGAGTTTCCCTTCTCTGTCACACTTTGTACCGAGATCCGATATGCCTTAATCTTTAAATCCAGATTCTCAATTGCTGCTTGAGTCTGACAACCAGACCTCACATTTTGGCAAAGTTCTGTATCTACATATATGTTATAGCTCTGCACATCTCCCCAGCCAGCTGGCATGAGTGGTGACTCCCAGCCTATAACAACACTTCTTGCAAACAGTTTGATTATAGTCAAATTTCTTGGATAAGGCACCGCTGTATGATCAGGCATTTCCATGTCTCCTTCTAATCTACTAGGCAATAGATTGACACTGATTTCTTCATCATGGCAATCACTCTTTTCTCCACTACTAGCACTTCTGCTGAGGAAACTCATTTCATGATCTGAAGTATGGGAGACGTCACTTGTCTTTGGAGGCACAAAGGTCATGAGGTCATCATCTGAAACTTCTTCTATCAAATTAGAGGGAACCAGCCCTCTTCTGCCATCCATCAGCTCTCCTTCGAAGAAGCCATCCTCATCCATCTCTCCATAGATATAAATGTATTCTCCAGCTGTCAGTGGAAGCTCTGCCTCAGGGTTCTTATTAGGACCATCAAAAGGGTCATAGCTGTATCGAGCTAAAAACACTTGAAGTTTTGCAGGACCTTGTCTCTCAGGCTCCAAGATTAGGGAAAATTTGTCTGTCTCCAATTCATCCATCTCACTTGCACTATCCCCCTCTGGAGTGGGGCAGGACTTAGGACTGTACTGTGTGGATTCTGATTTTGAGGAGTTTGACTGGAACTCCAGTTTCTTGCTTTGCTTCTTAAAAGCAGCAGGAGTGGATACAAAGTCTACATCATTAATATTCTTACTGCACTGAGGAACATGGCAATCTTCTGAGGAACAGCACGTAGCGTGTGGCAAGTCTGAAGTCACAAGGTCAGAATTTTTTATTTGTAATTGTTCGAGTTCCTGAGACAGAAGATTAAAATGTTCAGTTTGACTGTGATACTGATTCTCCAATTCTCTCACCTGGGCTTCTAATAGCTGTACTACCTCTTCATGTTCCCTTTTTGCTTCTACCTGGGCCTGCTGCAAATATTTGACCTCCTCTTCTTTCTTCTGCAGTGCTAACAGTGTTTCCTCATGGTCAACCTCCAGCTGTTGCCTTCTCTCTGCCATTTCTTTCATGTCCTTCAGTACATGCTCTAAATCGTCCACCTTGGTTTGAAGTCCTTTGGTCAACTGGACAGCAGAATTCCACTCCTCTGTCACTCCCATTAATTTTACCTTCAGGTCAGCATTTTCAGATTCAACCTTTTCTGTCCATTTAGTTTTCCCACTGAGTTGAGCATTTTTCTCAGTCATTCTGGCATTTTTAGTCAGCACCTCCTGAAGCTGCATTTCCAACTCTTCACATTTTTTCTGCTTTTTCTCCATTTCTTGTTCAAGGGTTTCACACTGCTTAAATTTCTTACTAAGCTCTATTTCCAAATGCTGTATTTGATTTTTGCTGTCTGGGTCTGTTTTTAAAGGGATGTTTTCATGTTCCTCAGACACATTTCCCAGAGGTAGTGCTACTGGCTTAATATCCTTTGCCAAAGTGATTGATCCTGGTGGTGTCTGTTTTGGCAAAGATGAACCATCTAAGCTTGCATCAATGTTTGGTGCAAGTGTTTCCTGTATTAGGCACATGGTAGCAGCTGGAGAAGAACTGTCTGGACCCATTCTGGAGGATTGTAGAGACTCTTTCAGGTTCTTCAGCGTGATCTGTCTCTGTAATCGTAACACTTCTTTCTGAGACTCCCGCAACAAACGATCAAAGTCACTTAAATTGAGCCAGAATGAGCCCTCCTTGCCTGTGGCCAGTTTGGCCTGCAGCTCCCAACACTCTCTCTGCAAGGCTTCTATCTGTTTGTCTTTGGCCAGAAGGATGCTAGCTTGTTCGCTCAGGTCTTTAGCCCGCTGCCGGGCAAATGCTTTCTTGCACAGTTCCACATTGGAGCCTTTGAGGGATAGGGGTATTGGAGCATTGACCACCTTGAGGTTGGACTCCTGGAGTTTCCTGGCTCTCTCCTCCAATCGCTTGGCAATGATGGCCAGATCTGCATTTTTCCTCTTGAGCCGCTTCACCTTCTCCTGCATCTCGGGGAAGCTGCTCCTCCTCAGAAGGCCGTTCTCTTCCTTAAGGGCTGTGCATCGCTGCTCTAGATCCTCCAGGGCACTTAGCAGGTCGGTGTTCTGCGTCACCAGCTGGCGGTAACTGCTGCCAGAGAGCCACTCCTGCTGCTGCCCCACTGCCTGGGTGCCACCCTCTCCTGCAGACCCCCAGCTGCCCATCTTCCCTTCAGGAGGCGAGTCCAAGCACTCCAGGGGACCCTCCTTACTGGTGGGCTTCAGGGGGAGCTGCTTGGCAGCTCCTTCTTGCGGGTGGGCATCTTCTTCTAAGGCCTTTTGGGCCGGCTGCTCCGGGCAGGGGCTCAGCGGGGGGCTCCCCTCCAGCGGGGCCTGGTGCCCTGCCTGCGAAGCCTCGGGCTTGGCTAGGCTGCTGTCCAGCGAGCGAGACCTGGCGGCTCCCCCATCCGGGGAGGCGGCGGCGATGAGGCTTTCCAAGGAGCGGGGCCTCGGCCCTTCCAGGAGGCTCCTGCTGAGGCGGGGCTGCGGGCCGTGCCTGGCCCTGTGCGGGCAGCCGGCGGGCTGCTGCTCGCCCTCGAACCGCTCCAGGATGTACTTGAGGAAGAGGCTCCGCTCCAGCTCCAGCTCGGCCCTGAGGTGGCGGATGCGGGCGGCCTGGTCGCCATCGGTCTCCCAGCGCAGCTTGCCCAGCACCTCCTGCAGCTTGCCGCGGCATTCGCTGCTCAGCCCCGCGGGGCAGCCCCGGGTGCTGCTGTAGCCCCGGCTCACCAGCTCCTCGGCCAGCTGCCGCTGCAGGTCCCGGGCCTGCCGCACGGCGGCGTCCCGCTCCCGCTGGAGCAGCTCCTGGGCCTGGCGCAGCTCGGCGTCCTTCCAGCGGATGAGCTGGCGGATCTCGGCCTCCCGCTCCCGCAGGCTCAGCTCCCGCAGCTGGTGCAGCTCCCGGGCCCGCTGCTGCTCCCACTTGGAGCGGAGCTGGTCGGCCAGCAGCTGGCGGTCGCGCTCAGCCGCCTCCCGCAGCTCGCGGGCCTCGGCGGCGAAGCGGCGTCGGCTCTCCTGCGAGCGCAGCCGCTCCCCGTCCAGCTCGGCCCGCAGCGCCTCCAGCTCCCGCTTGTGCTCGTCGTGCTGGGCCTGGCTGCCGGCGGGCGGCGCCGGGGCCTTGCGGGGAGACAGCCGGCCCCCCGGGGGCGGGCCCCCGCCCGGGCTGTCCCGGGTCATGGCCCAGGGGAGACGCGGCGTCGGGGCAGGGCCGGCCGAGGAGCGCAGCCCGGCGGGGAACGGCCGCCAACCGCCGCCCGCGCGCGCGGCCCCCTCAGCGCTGGGCTCGGGCCCCTCGAGCTAGGCGCTAACTAACGGCTTCCCGAGCGGGGCAGCCGCCCCTTCGAGCCCCCGATTGCCTCCGTCCCCCTGCCCCGGCCTTCCCCCAGCCCCTGGAGCGGGTGTTAACATTCAGCATATTGGCAGTCCTCAGAGTTCACCTCAGTGTGCCCTAGTTAACCCTGCTCCCATATCCCCAGTGCATGGATTTCTCCTGTTGTGTGTAGTGTTAACACAGGCAGCAGCATGAATTAGACTGCATGCACAATTAAGCATAAAGTATTGGTTACCAAATCAAGATTATCTTCCAAAAAATGAGAGGCTGCTACTCTTCCCACTAATACAACAACCCCTTGAGACAGCAAAAACTGTGCAAGTCAAAGATGCCATCTGCTAAAACTCCAGAGGAATTGCTGCATTGCGTTCAGAGCAGGGGTTGTCAAACATTGTAATAGCATGGCCCACTTTGTAATACAAGAAGTATTTCATTGGCAGCCTTCCCATTCCTGATTATAGGAATCACCTTTTCTCCCATTTACCATCACAAAGGCCTTGTCTCCACTTTGTTGCCAAAACTGCCGTTTGTCGATCCAAACAGTGAGGCAACTTTTATTGAGGAAAATGCCCGGTTTTGGAGACAAAATACATCCACCCTTATGAGAGAGTTATGTCTTTTTCCTCTACATTTTTGTTGACAAAGTGCAAGTGTAGACACCACGCTTCATTTCAAAGCTTTAATTTTGCAAGGCTTGTATGAAAAGGGTATGATCGGGACACGCTGCAGTGCAGAGCGAAGATAAAGGAGCTGAAGCAGGTGTACCATAATACAAGGGAGGCAAACGGTCCGTCAGGTGTTTCACTTAAGACCTGCCGGTTCTATAAGGAGCTGGACGCTATCCTTGGTGGTGACCCCACCTCCATCACCCAGAGCCCCATGGATACTTCATAGGGCACGGAGGTGGCGGAAAGTGGACCTAACCCGGAGGACGAAGTTAATTTCTCGTGCAATAAAAGCAAATTTTTATAATGGTAAATCATCTTTATTTTTTTCTCTTCAAGATGTCCAGGTGTCCCGTGTAAGGTTTCATGGCCACGGCTGTAAGGGGTACGCAGGATCCCCCAGGATCACTATGGGCATTTCAACACCCCCACTGTAATCTTCTGGTTAGGAAAGAAAATCCCCGCTTGCAGCTTTCTGTACAGGCTGGTGTTCCTGAACATGCGTGCGTTATGCACCTTCCCAGACCACCCCGCGTTGATGTCAGTGAAACACCCACGGTGATCCACAAGTGCCTGCAACACTATGGAGAAGTACCCCTTCCTAGTGATGCACTCTGTCGCAAGGTGGTCTGGTGCCAAAATTGGAATATGTGTGCCATCTATCGCCCCTCCACAGTTAGGGAAACCCATTTCTGCAAAGCCGTCCACTATTTCACGCACATTTCCCAGAGTCACAGTCCTTCATAGCAGGATGCGATTTATTGCCCTGCACACTTGCATTAATGCATCCCCAAGAGTCGACTTCCCCACTCCAAATTGATTTGTGACTGACTGGTAGCAGTCTGGAGTTGCCAGCTTCCACACAGCAATTGCCACACGCTTCTCTGCCGAGAGGGCAGTTCTCATTCTGGTGTCCTTGCACAGCAGGTCTGGGGCAAGCTCCGTGCACAGTTCGAGGAAGGTGGCTTTCCGCATCCGAAAGTTCTGTAGCCACGGCTCGTCATCCCACACCTGCATGACGATACGATCCCACCATTCAGTGCTTGTTTCACAAGCCCAAAAGCGACGGCCTACCCTATGCACTTGCTCTGTGAATGCCAAAAGCAATCTAAAGTTGCTCCTATCCATATCATGCAGCAGGTCAGGTGCCTGCGAGTCTTCTTCAGGTAGGAACTTCACGATTAACTGCACTGCCATCCACGATGTCTTCATGACAGTTAACAGAGCATAGGAGAGCAGTGTGGGATCCATCCCGTCTCACAAAGATGCCGGGGTTCACAGCAAAGAAGGGCTGTTGAAAAAATAGTGCAAAAGAAAGCCAGAAGCCCATGGAGTGCTGGGACAGAAAGCAATGCATCATGGGACATTTAGCACTGTCCCCAGATACACCACGATCTGCTCCATCATCCCATAACACCTAGCGACGAAAGGACTGTGGGATAGGTACCCACTGTGCATTGCTCACACTGTCGATGATGGTGCCCCCACTGTGGATGCGGTCTGCCGACAGAGGGAGCAAGTGTGAACATGAAATTGCGATTTTTATTATGTCGACTTATGGGTGTCGACATCACTTTTGTTGACATGTAGTGTAGACATGGCCTTAAATTCCCTGTTGCAAATGCAGCAATTTTGTTGGGAAAATATTTGTGTACTTTTTTTGCTGTCTTTATGCCAGGCATCTGGAAGTATTACAGATTTCCACTCTTTTGCACTGAAGGACCTGAATTCATGTACAGGCAGTTGGAAACAAGGACAAGAGCAACTACGTTACCAGCCGGTGAAAGCTCCTCAGAGCAACAGTGCTCAGAGGACCACATTTGGGAACTGCTGTTTAAGAATGCCCCATCCTCGGTCCCCTCATGAATCAGAATGTATTGCTTTTGAGAAAGTCATTCACACACGCCATTACCGTTCAAAACAAGGTAATGGCAACAGCTACTAGAACTCCCTCTGCATTAGGAAAGTGATCATTGCTGACCGTGTTTATCAATAGGTCACTCTGAACCAGTACTGAAAATGGTTTAAGTGCTCATATAGTAGGGACACTTGGTTCTGAAACTATCTGTCAGTTTTTGTAATGGTGCTGAAAACAGATTTGCCCTGTCTATACTAGCAGTCAAACCATTTGCAACATTGGTTCAGGAGGACCCATTATTGACAGTGACCCTGATCTTGCCAAGAGTTATGGATGGGTTTAAGCATCTGAGTGGTTCCAGTGAGCTCAATGGGAATACTCACAAGTGTAAAGTTAAACATGTGGGTAAATCTGTGTGGGTGAATCTATGATCAGGCCTTAGATTGTTGGTAATAGGTTGCTTTCCTAGTGCAAATAAACTTTTAAACTAAGGTATAGCAATAGAAGAGAGACAGTAAGATGAGTGACCCTTCTCATTCCCAGCAGAACACAAGGAAGGGAAGAGTCGAGATCCATGTTTCAGATTTGTAGCCACCCTTTAGGCTCCATCTGGGTGAGGAACCATATTGCTTGACCAGTTTGGCCTGATTCAGACCAACTCAGTTGAAATACAGTTTGTCTAAGCTACTGTGGATGGAGCTGGCAAAGACATTTTTAAAAATAGATTCTTGGCTACAACTGAGGAATGCATAGCACAGCTCGGGAAAGAAGAGTGCTAAGGTGACATTAAGCCACACTCTCATTCTGGGGATGTCTGTGCACCACTCCAGTCTCCTGTCATAAGTTTATGCTGCTTGCAAAGGGTCATCACAGCAACTAGCGCAGAAATGCCCCAGCTACAGCGGGAGTGAAGAAGTGTTTATACCAGCTCTGTGCCACCATTCACTGATTCTCCTGGAGTCAGCTTTGCAAAGCAGCCTGAAATCAGGGGAGAATGTAGGCCTGGAGATCTAAGCCTAGCTCTCTAGAATACAGTCTATGCTATGCTAGATCATGTTTTCAAATAGAATTTTAAAATAGGTTGCCCCTTCCCAGGCTGGTTGGCTAAACCACGTTAAAATATTTTGCTTGTTTACTTTAAATAAAATTTAAATATGATTTCTATAAAATGTAAAATACCACTGTAGATGGGGCCAAACTGATGCCAACTTCCTGATGAGTTAGAGTCAGAGAAAAGAGAGTAGAAGGAACTGATGGAGGTTGACATGGGTCTAGCCAGTGGGATTCCTTTCAGTTGACTGATAATAATGAATTTATGGGACATTTGTTCATTGGGTTTTCTTTCTGTTTCCCATTTTTTGTAGTTTATGATTAATATTTCTTGTTCATTTACTTTGTAATTTTATTATCTTACATATAAGAGTTTCTTTTGATGTATTGTTTATATCATCATCTTATGATTCATGGTGGACCAAATTCAGATTTGGCACAACATGCTGCTTTTGGAATAGGTTCTGTTGTGTATAAATCTTAGTTGTGGAAAGAAAAAGAAATATTAAAAAGCAAAAGACAAAAACATAAAACCTCCAGTAGAGGGCACTGGTACACATAGTCACAAACCAGTTGCTCATGAAATAGATGGCACGTGTAGCAAATTAGGCCTCATCTCCAGAATATAAAGCAATTACTAGAATTGAGGTTATATATACACCTGCTATGGCATACTGTATTCATATGATTAGAACTAAAGTATAATCAAACTTCCATCAGAGAGGAACAGGAACTAAAGAATATGCACAACATATAGAGAGTAACATTAGCCATAAAGTTATCTATTTTAAGATATAATTAAATAGCTTGCAAGAAATGTCATGCTACTTTTAGAACCATCAAACTCCATAGCTTATTCAGATATGGATGTACTCTTGGCCTCTGTTCAGTTCAGTAGATCCTGTCTTTCCATTATATGTATATACAGTCCTAGCACAATAGGACCCCAATTCCTGATTGGGGCATCTAGACAATGATGCAATACAAATTTAAAAATTGATTTTATACATACATTGATTTTAATACTTTGTACAAGTTTACCTCACCAAAGCTTTGTATTCTGTACACTAGTTTCCTGTGTCAGCCAACCATTTTTAAACATGGTTTCTGCAAAAACTGTCATGCCAGCCAGTGTAAATTGGGTATATCTCTGTTAAAACTATATAGATAGATAGATAGAATGTCCTCAAAACCTAATCTTGTGAATTGTTTTTTAAATATCTATCTATCTATCTATCTATCTATCTATCTATCTATCAAACAATTCACAAGACTAAGTTTTGAGGACATTTTTCAAAAATGTATTCAATGAAGTTATGCTTCATTCACCTTATCCAGCATAAATGTATTTGAAGAAATGGTGTTTTAACTTGTTTCCTAGCTTTGGGGAAACTGTGTATATGTGGATCCCATGTAATGTATTACCTGAAATCTTGCTAGCTCTTAGAGCAACAATTCTCAGTCTTCGACTGCTGGTCTGTGCAGAACAGGCTGGTCACCTGGTGCAGGCTTTCCTTGTTTCCAGCTGGTAAATCACATTAAAAGGAAGCTAAAAATATATTTCATATTTTCAAATATTGTTTTTCCATGTAGGCAATTACTGCAGTTGTGACAAGGGTGTTATGTGACCATGAATGGAAGGGGAGGCGACTGCTGTGAATGGGAGGAACAGTGGTCCGTGAGTCAATCTCTCCATTAAGACATGGCCCATATTATCTAAAAGCTTGAGAAACCTCTGTATGAGGGGTTTTGTGCATCTGTTCATGTTAGTGTTATACACACAAGTAATACCAATTAACACATCCAGCCTTTTTCTCAGGATGGAGAGCTTTGTGAACCTTTTTTCTGGAGGGAGAGGGGCTGGGAGACTGTATTTACTTTTTTCATGAATGCTTTAAGAAATGTTCCATAACATAGAAAGCATCTGCCTAAAACAGAATTAATATGACAATGTATATTACACACAAATCACAGAAGGAAAGACAGAGGGAGAAAAAATAAGTTTATAAATTTGTATTAAATCCTCAAATGAGAGAGTAAAAGTCACAATAACCACCTCAATACATAATTCATTGCTTAAAAATGCTTACTATTAGAAAACAACTCAAGAGATAAGACAACACATATAAAAACAGCATTTGTCAGCAAATTTATGGGAACGTAGGGTGAAGAATTTCAAATGAAAAAAGTTAAAGTATGTCTTCATTCTTTTATCCATTTTATTCTTTTAACAGTTGCAATTGAGAGGCATATAAAATGGTTTGGGACATGGAAAATGGATTTTTGTAAATGTTTTATCCTATTATTAGTAGTTATTGGAAGTGAATGTCACAGTACTAGATTAGAGATAGAGCCTTTAACTGAATTTCTATTTAAGCATATATAAATTCTACAAGTAAACATAATAAAGGATTTCTTTCTCTCTGCTCCACGCCCCCTACCCTCACCCCAGGTTAGCATGGGTTTTGTGTTTGTTCTGTTTTTATGAGAAAGCTTAATCAAAGATATGGGTTTTATATTTGTCTAATGAGACTGTAAGATATGTCTAATATATCCTCTGGGACTGAGTTGCTGTTGTGGGCAGTTGCTGAGAAAACTTTATTTCCTCTCAAGGATGAGTTATCTATCCTGCAACAATGGAACTGTCATGGGAGATCATGATCTTTGAGCGTGAAGAGGCCCTCAAGGTAGTTTAGGGTAGGCCCTTGGAGGATTTGGAAGATAAGGACTGAAACCTGTGCTCTGGACAGTATTCATTGTCAAGTAAACTCAATCATGCATTTTGAATTTCTTGGAGGTGTTTTCTTTTGTTTTTGTTTAAGTCATAAGTTTCATTCTTGGGTATAGCATATTGCAATAGTCAAGCCTGAAGGTCACAAAAGCAGGGATCACATTAGGCAAATGCAGAACATGATGCGAATTCAGGACAGTTGAGGGTCCTGGTCTCATTACATGTGGAAGAATGGTGGTACAGGCTCTGAAGGCAAAGGAGCAGTCCCCTGCGGGAGGAAACCCCTACCACGTCTCTGAGATGATACAGCAGCATTTCATGACTGACAATAACAAATATCCTGGAGAGAACCAGCAGCACGGCCACTGTTACACAGCCCTTGTCCACAGACAAGAGATCATCCACCAGTGTGATCACCACTGTATCTGTTCTGTGTTCAGTCTGAAACCTGATTTGAGGGGTATGCAGGATATTGGTAGGTGGAACGTACATAGTTCTTTGCAAGCTTCTCAATGATCTGGCTAGAAAAGGGATTTACATATCAGGTGGTTATTTGGGAAGTGAACTGCAATGAACAATGGATGGACTATAGCTTACTATAGCATGGGTGGTAGCTTTTCCTCTACAAAGGAAGTGCTGACTATCTCCGTTAGTAAGGGTCACAGATACTTTTTTAACTCTGTTTTACCAGCCATGAAGGGCATGGATCAGAATTGCAGATGATGACTCAGTTTTCATGTAGTGCTTTTAGGACTTCATGTTGAAGAAGAAGATGGTGGATTTCTTTTTCCAGCAACAGGTGGGGATCTGAGCAGTTGTATTTTGGAAAAACTGAAGTTTAAAGAATAAGGATTTATGGTGTCTTTGAAGGACTATACAGCCCACGTGTGATTAAGAGTTTTGGCAAAGAAGAAATGAAGATAGTGTTTGAAATGGTTGATGTGTCACATATTTACAGGACTGGAAGACACATAATAAGTGATATTCTCCCCAGTCAGTATGGTATCAGATTTGGATATTTCAGGTTTCAGTACAGTAAGACTTCAACTAGCCCTTTTAAATCAAATATCAATGTTCTTAAACCTTTAGCACCAACATCCAACTTCAGTAGTACATCAGGAACTCTTATCAGAGAGACTCTGCAGCTTTTCCATCTCGTCTGCCTTTTCTCCTTTCTTTCCTGAGCAATATTCAGCTTTCTCCCGCTGTGTACCTGCTAGGCACAGCTGCAATTGCTCTACACATACAGTTACCTCTCTGGGTCAACCTGCTCCTTTTGCTTAACCTCTCTCTCTGCTTCATTTTCCCCATCAGCAAAATGGATATAATAATCCCTAAATGCCTAATATTAGAATAAAGTAATCATAACACTTAACATTTATATAGCATTTTAACCTTCAAAGCATTTTACAAACTAATTATTTCTCACAACACCCTGATGAGGTAGGTACTAAATTAGTTGCCAAGGGTGTAGCATGATTTAACTCATTACCTAATGTTAGTAAAGTTCTTTGAGTTCTTGGAACAAAAAGCACTACAGAAAGGCAAAATATTTGATGAAATAATTATTATTATTTGGTGAATTCATTCTATGCCACTCAAAGGAATTTATTCTGTATGTTTTAATGAGACTTTTAAAATCTCTCATAACAGTTTGAAATTTCACCTTTTCAAATTGCCTGAGTTTGACAGGACTGTACAAGTTTGTTGTAAGACTTAAAGCTTTTCAGGAAAGAGGAACAGCATTTCCTAAAGAGTTAGATTTGCCAAGTTGCAGTCATTTGGGGACATGTCCAATGCAGAGATGAACTAAGGGGCACAAATACAAACAGAATGGAGTTGGGTAGTACTCCCAGAAAGGATTGTGCCAACAATGCGCATTAGAGAGTCTACTGAAAATTGAGAAGCCAGCTGGGGAGAGATGGAGTTGGGGAGCAGCCATGTTTGGGGACTTGGGAAAAGGCTATAAAGCACATCAAATTGTTGTGTTGGTTAGTATTAGCTATACTATTCCACAGATTTCATTCTTCCTGGAGAAAGTAGGAATGTACAGCTACAGAGGGGAAGCCAACAGGATGATGGCACCTGAACTAGCTGTGCTACTAGTGTATTTTGTGGTGGGGCTACTCAGCACATCTTGTCTGATATCAGTGGGGCATATGATAGTTCCTGGTCTATGCTGGAACTGCAGCCCCCCCACTCCTGTAAGGGTACCCAAAGAGGGAGTATTTGTGGCTCAGAGAATCAGATGGATTTATTCAGTAACATTTCCTCTTTCCACAGATGTTTCCATGGAAGATGATGTACAGTAAATAAAATACAACGCAGCAGCAGCAATAATAAAGACAGTAAAAAATGGAAAATACTAAACAGCCCAACCCAAACAGCATAAAGGAACAGGCTTTTAAAACGGTCTTAAAGCTAGTGCCAAAGAAAGGTGTGTGCAACGCACTCTCCAGTATTCCTTCCCTTCAGCCCAGAAGTGTGAATGCTGGGTTCTTCCTCTGCCCCACATCAGGGCTTTCCAAGAGGGGTGGAGGGCTGGAAGAAGGGTCTCCTCCCCTCTTTCCCCCTGTGCCCCAAGAGGACTGTGTGCGCAGATCTCTGCTCGTACACACAGGTGCACGGGGGTCGCCAGGAGCATTGAGAGGGAGTAGGGTGACCAGACAGCAAGTGTGAAAAATCGGGACGGGGGTGGGGGGTAATAGGAGCCTATATAAGAAAAAGACCCAAAAATCGGGACTGTTCCTATAAAATCGGGACATCTGGTCACCCTAAGAGGGAGCCCCCCCAAAGGGTCCGGGGGGTCTCTCTCTCAGCCCCTATGTCCCCCCTTCCCATGAGTGTGCAGCTCTCACTCGCAGTGTGTGTCTGGGGGAGGGGAGTTTATTTTCCCATCCAGGCCTCCGGGGAGGGGGCACCCTCGCTCCTGTGCCCAGGGTACAGCCCCCCTAGGAGGGGAAGGGGTGTTTACTCTCCCCTTGCCCAGAGCTGCAGGCTCTCCAAGGGAGATGGGTGGGGTGGGGAGCCTCTAGCTTCCCCTTTCCCCTGGGCGGGGTCTCGTCTCCTCTCCTGCCCCCCGAGGTGGGCGATGGGCGGGGGAGGGGAGCAGCCTAGGCGTAGGAGACAGGGGCCCCTCGCTTCCCCCTCCCTCCGTTCCAGGAAGCGCAGGGCTTTAGCCGCCCTGCCCGCAGCCGCCATGCATTGTGGGGCAGCAGTAGCAGATCCAAGATGGCGGCCAGCAGGAGGCTGATGAAGGTAACATCCAGCGCCGCGCCGGGGAAGGACCGAGCGGGGGGTGGCTTGGGGGGCGGGGAGCGCTTCCGCCCCGGGCCCCTGCCGTGCTGGGGGGCAGCGACCCGCCGACTCGGGGCGCGCGGGGAGCTCTCCCCTCCCCCCCGCGGCAGCCCGCGGGACGAGGAGACCGGAACGGGAACAGCCGGCATCTAGGCCGCGCCTCGGAGGGGCCTCGCTCCACCCGCTCTGCCCGGGGCCGGGCTCCAGGGGGTCCCGGAGCCCCTGCGGCTGCCTGGCCCCGTGTGGGGAGCCAGCGAAGGGCGCTGGGGTGCCCCCGGCCGGGCCATGCTCCTCCCCGAGGGGGCTCCTGCCGTGACTAAGCAAAGAGGAAGCTGGTGCGGGAGGAAATGCCGCCTGGGCTCCTGCCGGGGGCTGGGGCTTTCTCCCCCCGGGCCGGGATGGGGACGATTAGCCCGAACTGGCCGCAGTGCTGCCCGAGCGCCCCGCCGCCCCTGGCCGGCAGGAGCCCCGACCCGCCGGGACCATGAGGCTAGGATGGGGTGGGACGGACTGAGGGTTCTCCCCTCCCAGGCTTATTTTAAGTTTATTTTTGTCAGGCGTTTTTGTGCTTTTAACGTTAATCGGCCCCGCATGTGAGGGAGACATGGCTGGTTTATCAAGTTGAAATATGGACCTGGGTTCAGAAGTTACTTCACTGAGTTCGTTTTAAACACAAATCCTTTTCTGTTTCTAAACCTTTATTCCTTCTGACCTATGTATAATTATGTAAAGAGTGGCCGTAGCCTGTGGTGGTTGATTTTTTACTTAAGAATGGTTTTATTTAATAGTTTTATTCTATTCTGTTGTTCAGTGTTGTATCTTCATTATTTGTTCTCTTGCAATAGCTCTCACCATGTGTAAGATGCTTTTCTGACGCCTAGGAAAACAGTCACTGCCCCTAGAAGTTTACAGTCTTATGTAGTGGATGACATCATGATCATCAATTCAGATTGTATACTACTCAGGGCAGGGATCTGCCACACTTTCTGTATAGCACCTAGTGGGACTGCAACAACTGTAATTATCTGTGTACCTGGTACTGTACAAAGATACTATGATCTTTGCACCTAGGTGTTCATAACCTAAGTCAGATAGATGATATAATTTAACCACATGATACATAGACGCAAGGACCAAACTGAATGTTGTGAAATATTCTTCATTTTTTACATACCTTTTACTTGATGGGAGAGAAGTTTGGTGCCACTTCCATTAGTTTTGTTCTTTTAATTCTTGATCCTGAAACTGGCTTCGGGCAGGTGGAGCCCTGCCCAGAGCCTCACTGAGATCAATGGGGTTCCACCCGGACATTGGCTCAACAAGGATAGACCCCTGATGCTGGATTGGGGTCTGAAACTTGAGTTACACAGATTCATAGTTTATACATTCAAAAGTTCCTGAGGATTACAATGATAAAGAGAATTGTGATAGTTTAATATTGATTTCATTTAAGATTAGCTTTGCTATTTTAAATTTGTTCTGAGTGTAGATTGTAATTTAAACAGTAGAACACCTTTGATGCAGAGTCATGCACACAAGATAATATCCATAACCTCAGTGAGGAACATAAACTGCTCCTAGAGAGCTTGATGAGACTGAACTAACTTGTTTTTTTGATATATTCTATTTTTAATCATATATCTCATGCTACCACCTATGAAGCTATTGTTGCAAATATGTCAGAATAAGAACCCCCTCTATTTTACATGGTGAACAAGAGTAGTTATTTTATGTTTTAATAAGCTTAGCTTTTCTGTTTTGTTTGAAATTGAATTTCATATTCAGAGCCATATTTACCCTTTTTAAAAAATTTTGTAAAGTAAAAAAATGTACATAAATACTCCTAGTACATTTCTAAACAGGAGCAAAAAATATAATCTTAAAAATCTGGAGGGCTGCAGAGGCAGGCAATAGTTAATCTTGCTAAGTAGCTACCAAAGCTAGTTATCATTCTACTACATTTTATGGTGTTAATGGTATTGCTGCAGTATGTTTACGGAGACAGTATATAGATGTTAATTTTCTGAAGTATTTGATTCTTCTGTCTGCACTTAGACATATCTCTTCTAGAAGAAATTTGTGGCCAGACATTGATTGATTGGGGAGCGTGGTGTTGGGAATAGAGAATCTATTACTAGATTTTACTTTCATTTTTGTTTCGTGTTCATGAATCGTGGTAATCAGAAACTTTTCGCCATGAGTTCAGCAGTTGCATTATGCTCTTAACGGTTCAGAAATTACCTTCTTATACACCACGATTAGTAGATATTATTACTCACCCCCATCCCCCCCTCCCCAGTTTCAGGATTTTGGACTATAGTACAATTCCACAGTACCACAAACTGCACCCGTAAGTGTTCCATTGCCAAACAGATTGTCATGTTTTGTTTTTTTTTAATAGTGATGATAATTGGATGTTTTCTCAGTTATTTAAATTATACTTTTTAAACAAAGCTTAGGGTCATAAAATGTAATGAATGCTCGAAACCTCAAAGGAAACCCAATTTTAGCTTTGTATTTTCACACTTGTTAATAATAATAATAATAATAATTTTAAAATCTCTTAATTTTCTTACAGATCTTTGAACTAAATATAGTTTGTTTTATAACTGAAAATAAATTTGGAACCTCCTGCAGATTGTTCAAAATATAACATTCACGTGAACAGGGATGTAAGTGAATGGAAATTGTTTTATTTTAAAAGTACTGGAGTTGTTTGGAACCATTGAGATCATGGTTTTTATTTGTATTACACCCACAACAAGAGGCTGCACTTGAGATCAGAGGCCTGTTGTAGGTGATAGTGCTTTCTATGAAGAGCTTACAGTATAAATAGACAAGACAAAGTGTGGGAGATTGGAGTATCATCCCCACTTTACAGGTGAAAACTGATCTCTCTCTTTAAATTGAGCGAGCCAGTATTTATTTAGTCTTGGCAGAATTCAGTTTTTTTGTTATAATTTCAATAGATAATACTGATGTTTGTTTTGAGCATTTTTTAGATTTTTATCAATTTAATTTTTTACATTTGTGTGAAATTATGGGTCTTAAGCACTGGGGAATCAGAAGATTTTTAATGACAGTAGACACTGAGATTCAAAAAATTCAAGCTTTATAACTTAAAATACAAATTGTCAATATGTCAAAATATACAAAGTAAATATCCTTAAATCAACAAATCATAGCTGTTTTTATTAGTCCATTCGTTAGTCCATTTGTAACAAGTCTAATTCAAAAGTCTAAATCCCTGGATTTTGACTCTCTTCTCAAGCAGCATTTTTCTTTCTTTGCCTGGCTATACATTTTAGTTATTATTGATTGAAATATGTTTTGTTTGTGACAGTGAAATTGATATTTACCAATAAAAATCAAATCTTTCTAAAATTATATTTAATAACTTACAAATCTTAATATGACATACTAAAGTTTACACAAATGCAATTGTATGGTTACAATAATAAACATTCAAAACAGGGAGGGGGGTGTTGTGGTGGTGTCTAGGGGCCTGAGCCCCATTGTGCTAGGCCCTGTACAAACAGAAAATAGATAGGGGCCTTTTGTCACAAACTCTCATTCATCTGAATAGTCTAATTGAAGTCATTGGGGGCTACTTGCATGAGCATTTTACAGGATCAGGCCCCAAGTTTATCATAACAAATGCAGTTAGTGGATTAAGCCCCGAGTACATCAAAGACCCAATTTTAATCTATGAGCCACCGTGACAGCTGTGCTCCTCTAGGACAGTGCAGATCTCAAAGCATGTGAGAGCTGGCGACAAAGCGTTCTTGTCGAGGGGATCCAGCTATGGAACAGTCTTTCAGAAGAGATGTGGTAAATCTGGAGTCTGTCTTAGGAAACCCTGTAGGGCCTTCCCTTTTGAGAGAGTTTTTACACCATAGCTGATGCTCACAATTCAAACACCCCTTTTCTTTCCAAACTGTTACTAACCCCTACCCACCAACACCACAAAAACCCTACCCCAAGCAGAGTTTTGATCCCAGAAAGGGAGGAGTGCCAGAGTCTCCATGGTGTCCATAATAAGGATTTTGTTGTTGCTACTGTTTTTATGCGGAAGTCACTTGGATACCACAGTGATGGGCAACAGTATAAAACCCTAAGATAGATGGATGGAGAGATGCCATTAGCTGGGGTTACAATTAAAGATGGGAGGGAGGCTTATATGGCAAAGGTGGTGATGTTACTTGTCTTTGCAGGTATATATCATGTTAATATAAAATACCATGTATGGAACTTGTACTTTTATTAAATTGGGTTGGGACTACTGTTTATAGAGAGATATACTTAAAAATATAATTAGTAGTCCAGAAGACTCTCTTGGACAGTATCTGACCCTCCTTCCTCAGATAAAGCTCCTGTTGAAGTCCCAACTATAATATGGCCAAGTAAAGGTTTCTATTAGGTCTATAATGTTTCCATTTCCTGTTTTTTTTTTTAATGTTTAAAAAAGTATAATTAATATTCTGTTAATGTAAGCTTTTGTTTTTGTGTGTGTTAAGGAAGTGAGGAAGGGCAGAAGGAAGATTATTTTAATCTTTTCTTTGTGTACTCCCACAGTTGCATAGTCAAACATTTATGAAGCAATGAACTCCACAGTGAAATAAATATCAGAACCACACCCATGTAATTAATGTTGATGCACGTATTTACATTATGCCTTAGTGTTGTAAACAGTATAACAACGCCAAATTTATTGAGAATTTTGTATTTTTAATCAGATTTTTTTCAGTTTATAGCGTTGATACTTTGTATGTGTAGGTTTTTAATTGTTCTGGCCTTTACTCCTCAGTAACAACTAGTCAGAAGAAACAAACTTTGTCTGTTTTCGTGTTGGTGTTTTTTAAAAAAAAAAGCTTACACATTTTACAGCAGGAGTGAGAACAATGTGATTTTGTAACTCAAAAATGGGTGACGATATTTTACTCAAAATTCACTTTTGAGCAGAGATCAAACATAGAAACTTTCTGCCAGAAAGAAGAATTATTCAGAAAATAAAGAATACGTGAAAACACAAAATTGTAATGTTTCAATGGAGCCTTAACTATAGCTTTTATGAAAATTAAATATTCTCATGGTTTTTTATTTAAATTTGAAGGGTTTTAAAAAACAACAACACTACCTTGCAGTACCAGAGAACCAGAAATTGAAATAGATCAACTTCTTACCACTGGCTAAGGGACATATTCATCATAAAAACACTTGTTTAGAAATTGTTTACCTACTCTTGTTCATAAATAACAGATTACAGAATATCGTTTCTCTATTCAGTTTATTTACTTTGTGCCTGATGCAAAGCTTATTGGAGTCAATGAGAGTCTGCCCATTGATTTCAAATCCTTTGTGTATAGTCAGTTTCCCTGTTTTCCCTGTGTAGACAATCATTGAGGGAGGCACCAGTCTTGGGATGGTTCATATGCGCAAGAGTTTTCAGGATTGGGATGGAAGTCATTTTTCCTTGTTTGTGTGGCTTTTTCAGAATGGAGCCCGAACATTTAAAAAAAAATTTTTTAAACCTGTTTATAAAATCACAAACTGGCAGAGGGGCTCAGGTGCAAGTGCAGTATTTGAAATTACTTTTAACTTTTTTTTAATTGACTAGATTTCAAGTTGGTGGCATTTCTTTTACTTTTTGCTTGCTTTTGAATTTTTAATTTTAAGCTGAATTTGAAATTTATGCTTTCAAACAGCATAAATGGTGAAAAGTACTTTTTTCATTTTCAGTAATGTAACATGCATAAGGAAAAATACTAAATGCTTTTTGTGATACCGTCCCTTCAGTGCTGTACCTGAAGATTAAATATTACATATCAAACAGCATGTTCTCCATTTTATATACTATACTATGTTTTTTATCTGAACACGTTGAAATACTTTACAAACTTGAAGTCCGAACACATCCCTATAAAATGAGTAGATATCTCCATGTTATAAAAGGGAAATCTGATTCAGCAAGGTCACACGCAGGGTCAGTGGCAGAACTGGAAATAGAATTAGGAGTGTGCACTCCCACTTCTATGTTCTAGCTATTAGTGCACTCTCTCATAGTCACTAATTTATATTATTTAAAACAACAACATTAAAGGGGATGGGAGAGAATGGGAATTCAGCTATTCACTACATTTCTAACCTTAAGATTTCTTTTAGAAAAAAATGCATGTTTGGCCTCATTCTCTCACTTCCAAAAGTCCTTTTTGTCCTTTCAGAGTCAGTGATCTTAAGGTGAAATTAGTCATTTTTCTGACTCTGAACATGGTACTACCTTTTACCAGCCTGTTGCCTGTGGACATTCAGCAGAATCATATTTTCTTTCTTCTTTGACAAAAGTATGTTTTTATTCATTATCTATGTTGCCTTTGCTGTACTAGTATTTCATTATGAATTGTGTCTCACCACCAAAAGTAACTAAATTTCTGTTACAAAATCTTTATTCCTGGCAGTGCACCAGCCAGAAAGAATACAATTTGATTTGCAGCTTCCTGGTTGAATTTGCAGGGGGGTCAATAAGCAAAAAGCCTCTTCTAAACTGAATAAGTTTAATATGGAAGTTACCGATTTGCAATAAATATGGAACCTCATGGTGCTACTTTCAGACAGTCATTTTTGAGTATAAAGTGAAACTTTAAGCAACCACACAAGGGATTGACAAAAAACGTTTGTCTAATGGATTTGGTCTTCTAGTAAAGGCAGAGTAGGATTGAACTCAAAGACTTGATTCTTCACCATCTTGGACCTTGTGTAGTCCATGCCTGTTTAAAATATATGTATTATATTCTAGTCTGAGTTGGCAACTTTTAATCCCTATTTTGTACTTCCTTTGCATAAGTAGAAGTTGCTACAGTAGGTGAAAGGTCGTGGAGAATCAGGCTCAGATATTTGGTGATACTTGATGGGGCGGGGGGTCTCTTGAACGGGTTTCACTATTATATGTCATTTCAAATGGAAGCGCTGCAGAGCCAGTAGGGTTACTGGGGGGAAAATTTTAATTCTCTCAACTTTGAGTGAAGGATTTTAAGGAAACCAGAGAGAGGCTTGCTGGTTCATTTGAAACTTTCTTTGGTTACATACAAAGCTTAATAAAATTGTGGTGATCACAGTTAACTTCTGCACTGTATTTATTGCATTTCTTAAATCAACCACATTACAGACATGTCAAGTTTTTAAAACAAAAGTGAGAGTTTACCTCTTTAAATTAACATCATTTTTTTTTTTCATTCTAAAGCTCACCACACTTAAATGTGTTAATTATTTTGACGGAGACAAAGAGACTGATCACGTTGATAGTTAACTTTTCTTTATATAACTACTTCATCCTTCATCTGTTTTTATATGTATTAGATTGTAAGCTCTCTGGTCAGGAACCATATCTTCCTGTGTTTTTTGTATAACACCTAGCACAATGTGATTTTGATCCTATATGGGGGCCATTTGAGAGAAACTAATGTAAATTATACATATTATATAAACATCTATTAAGAGTTAGATAATATCTAAAATAACCAATTTTTCTATCCATCTGTGTTTTGTGGGAGAAGGCATCAGTCATGCATAAGTTCTGCTTTAAATGTGTGCTGGTGATCTATCTGTATCTGTAACTTGCCCTTTTCATGATAGCCCATAAGTTATTTTTGGTTTAGAATGGGCTTCATTGTTTAAAATTGTGGGTTATGAAAAAGGGTAGTTCAGTGTGACTCTACAACAGTGCTACATGCAAAAAAATGAACCAGCTGAAAACGCAACTGAATTAGTTACTTACCTTCCTGAGCCTCTCAGAAAAACACCACAATCTTCTGCGCTTTTGAACTGAGACCTTTTGTACTTTCAGTGTCCAAAACCAAATACCTAGCATAGTACTAGATTCTTAGTTAAAATGGACATGTGATGCCTTGCTGCTGCTGCTAATAAAGGTTATCTTCCACTGAACAGCGTGGTTTAGGTTTAGCATATCCCTATGAATGGAAATCCATGAGACTCTTGATGTGTGACTTCATGCTCTAAAGCATAATCTTATCACAAAAACCCTATTTCTGTAATATTGAACAAGTTGGGGTACACTTAATGGCAATGGAGCTAGGGAACCAGACTAACTAGTCATTTCTAGTGTCCCGAAGACCAGTCTGAACCTTATGTTCTGGACATGCTCCTTAGCTGTGCTTATATCTATTTTGACATACTTAAAGGTTCATTTTCTAGTGTATGTTGTATGTGAGTTTGGACTTTGGTCTTCCTGTTGAACTTCATTCAGTCATGATGCCATAGTAACGCTCTAGTTCTGAAAGAATAAGAGTAGTTTTTTTGTTTCACTGGGAGTGCCCTTTGTAAACTACTGATGTATTTATTAAAAAAGGAAATAAACATAGTGTTTGTTTTCCTTGACCTAAACTCTCTCAAAATATTGTGTACACTTGTATGTAATTGGCTTATTTTTCACTGAAAACTAATTAATAACGTTTTGGCTTGCAAGGCCTGTCATTCTCTCAGAAATAATTTCTGAAGGAAGGGAAAATATAGTTTCTTAGCTCATGCAGTTAGTTAACTATATCGCAATTCCTGAATGTAGTAAGTATCCAAATGGCTGTAATATTGCTGTTAACTTTATATTTTGTTTTCAACCTTAACTTAGAGCTTTGCCTACATGATGGAGGTGCACTGGATTGGTTTTTAAACCAATCTAATTAGACTGGTACAAACCTCTGTGTGGAAACTTATTTTGGTTTAAAATGGGCATATTTCAGATTAGCTTAAATCTTAAACCAAAAGAAGTGTCCACACAGTGGTTCGTACCAGTTTAATTAGATTGGTTTAAAATAATACACTGATTTATTTAAAGGTACCTTTCTCATGTAAACAAGTCCTAACACATCTGTTATTTGTTTTTGTAGCTGGCAAATTGATACAATATTCTCAATCCACAAATTCTTTGAGAATAAACTTTTTAAACAAATGAATATCTGATATACAAGTGAGTGTAACAAAAGTATAAATAAAATATATAGCTATGATGCAATATTATTAACCATGCTTCTGTTGTAGCTTCATGGCTTATCTCTTAATTCAACAAATAAAGATTTTGATTCCCTGGCTTAGATAACCTTGATTCTTTATAGGTGCAGGAATTCCATTTGTTTTATTAATTATGTGGCTTGTCACTTCTGAGACCACAAACTCATTTAATATAAAACAAAGGAACCCATTTTCATCTCTAAGTTTCTTGAAAAAAATAAATGAACATGCTGCTTATTACTGTTATTAATGTATACTTACACTCTGCTTGCTTTTCAGGAGCTTGAAGAAATCCGCAAATGTGGAATGAAAAACTTCCGTAATATCCAGGTTGATGAAGCTAATTTATTGACTTGGCAAGGGCTTATTGTTCCTGTGAGTATAGAACACTTATATTGTGCTTTAAAGCAATCCACAGACCATTTGTACCTGGTGATGATTTGTATTGAGGGGGGAAAAAATTCTCACAAATCCATAGTCTATTAGTACTGTAGGTGGCCATTACATAATTGTTGCACCCTGACAAATGAGTGATTGTTTGCTGTTATAAAACATTACTTTGGTTATTCTGGTTATGTTTGAAGAAGAAAAGATCCAGTGAATGGTTGCACTGAAAACATACCTGTTGTTTACTGGTTATAAAAATAACTAGGCTTAGCAGGATTCAGTTTTAATTTATAACTGTTGGTAAATGTTGATTTCAGATGATACAGTGAAATTGACAAAAAAGAAAATCAATTGGTAACAGTCACTGTGCCTCCAGCAATCAAGTGTCGCTGGTCTCTCCGGCCATTCGGGGAGTACTCCGGAGCCCTATTGTCAGGGGAGTGAGTGAGTGGGTCCAGCTGCAGAGGGCTCTCTGCGCCTCACCTGATCCCACAATGGGGACAGAGCCGAGCCCCCTGGCTGGGACTGCAAGGGAAAGGAGGACAAGCCTCTGGCTGTGGGGGAGACCAACCCACTGCTGAATGGCTCCTGCAACAGTTCAGGGAGCCCTCTGCAGCCTCACTAGCACGGACCTGCTTTCTCACACACCAGCTGAGAGTGCCAGGAGACTGCAACTTTCCCTGCATCTTGCACCTGTAGGGATCGGGTATCACCAGTGCTGTGGCCATGTAGGGAGCCCACTGCAACTTCGCTGTCTCAGCCCCACTCCCTTACTTGTGTGACAGCAGAGTTTCAGAGGGCTCTCTAGACAGCTGCAGCACCAGTGACACCCAATCCTTGCAGGCATTGGGTGCGGGGGAGGCTGCAATTATCCTGGCCCATCGGCACAGAGATCCCTGGCCAGGATTGCAAAGGAGGACCTCAAGCCCCTGGTTGTGCAAGAGACCACCCTGTCATTGAAGAGTTCCTGCCTGGGGATGGCCCACACGTTCCTGGCTGGAGGGTGAGTGAGTGGGGCTGGTGACACCTAATCACTGCAGGCACAAGATGCGGGGAAAGCTGTGATACTGGCCCGGCAGACTAGAGACCCCTGGCCAGGACCTCCTGGCGAGGAGGAGTCAGTATTGTCCCCAGCCGTGGAGGAGGCCACCCCACTGCTGAATGGCTCCATTGCCGGGCAAGAGCCATTTAGCAGTGGGGTGGCCTCCCCCACAGCCAGGGACTCGTCTTTGTCATCGTCCTCCTCCTTGCAGTCCTGGATGGGGGTCTCTGCTGTGCCCCGCCAGGACCCCAGCTTTCCCCGCACCTTGTGCCTGCAGGGATCCAGTGTCACCGGCCCTGCGGCCTTGGAGGGAGCACTCTGCAGCTCCATTGTCAGAGCCCCACTTGTTGATTCACCAGCCCAGAGCATGGGAGCCATCCCCAAGCAGGAACAGTTCAGCAGTGGGGCCTGCCTCCCTGGGGCTAATCCTTACCCTGGCCAGGACTGAAGGAGATCTCCACTGGGCCAGGATGACTGCAGCCTCCCATGTACCTGGTGTCTTGGGCCCCTCAGCTGCACAGGAACCCCCCTGCAACCCTGCTGTTAGCGCTGCCCTAACCCCAGCCCTACCCTCCACAACAGTAAAAATCAAAATAGTTTAAAATAGGAAAAAACCCTTTTTAAAAAAAAAATAAATTTATTTTTATTTTCAACAATAAAAAAATAGAAAAAATTGAGTTCTGCCAGCACTAAATGTAACCTAGGTTTATATGTGATGCATAATGAAATCACAAACTTCCTTCCTTCATGACCGTGGGCAAGTTACTTATCTCCTATCCTCTGAGACAATTGGGGTGTAGGTATTACCTTATCTCACATAGGTGTGAGGATAAATCCATAGATACTTGGGAGAGGCTCCAATGCTGTTGTGATGGGTGTCATATTAGTACCTAGATAGATGCTTGAAAACTTTAGGCCTGATCCTGCAACTGGCTCCATGTGAACAGGATTGGGGCCTTAGTGATATTGTGATGTTGTTGCCCTGCTTTTTTAGTGTACAGACACTTTTAATCTTAAAATGTTAAATTTAAAAAAAAAAAACTATCAGGTTAGTTTGTAAACAAAGTATGAAGTGTCATAGTCCCCAAATGGCATTGTTTTATAGTCCCAGGGTTCTATCATAGTATTGAGACCAGAATTTTCTCTGGGGAAAAAAAATCATGTTTATAACAAATGTTATCTTACAATTAAAAAAACAACACCCTGTCATGGAATTCCTATTTAACATTAAGTTTTAACATCTTTTAAGCTAGATGAGGCTTTGAATGCGGAGGTATGAAGATTCTGTGTACAAATTTAGCAACTAGAATTTTTCATAATTTAGTCTGAGATGGGGAAGTTAGAGTTTAGTGTATATATAAGGGGTAATGTTTTAAAAAGCACTTGAAGTCCCATTGATTTTTCTATGAGACTTAGGGTTCTAAGTTACTTAGGCACTTTTGAAAATTTTATCCAAGAATTGTACTTGCTCTGAAAGGCATTATGCATTTTAAATGAGATTTTTAAAAAGCTTTGTAGACTATAAAACCAACACTGTTGTAAGGTGACTTGAGCATTTAAGTTGCTTAACAATCACTTCTTGTCAACTTAGTTGGAGGAGGGAGAGAGAGAGAGAGATGTAGGCACGCTACTATTTTCCAGGTATCTGTTTATGTGGAGGTAGCTCATAATTCGTGGGTCACGCAGTAACATGTAAAGAATCTTGTGTTTTGAAACAGTTAGACTAAGCAAATACAAAAGCTCTAATGCTTTGTGTATATTGGCACTTAGATCATGTTAGTGAATCTATTTTTACTATTTTAAAATGGTTCCTGCTAATTTGGTGTAAACATAGTTTTCCTGGCCATTATGACATGGTGATAAGAGTATTAAAACAGTTATGGTTGTATCATAGTAGCCAGACCAGGGCCGGCTCCAGGCACCAGCTTGGCAAGCAGGTGCTTGGGACGGCCACTCCGGAGAGGGGCAGCAGGTCCAGCCATTCGGCGGCAATTCGGGACGGTCCCTCACTCCCGCTCGGAGCGAAGGACCTTCCGCCGAATTGCCACCGCAGATCGCACGCGGAGCTTCTTTTTTTTTTTTTTTGGCTGCTTGGGGCGGCCAAAACCCTGGAGCCGGCCCTGAGCCAGGCAAACCATATTTACCTCTTTTTAGCAGGAATAATTTTGAAATTGTTTTAAAACGGCTCTGCTAGTATGCTTTTTATGTCAGTGAAGGTGGGCCTAAACTAACAGGTCTTAAACTGGTGCAGGCAGTACAAAAATAACTGGAGTCCAAGGTGTGCGAAAGAATTTGGCCTGGATTTTCAGGATTGGGTATTTTAAGTTAGGCTCTAAGCGCTGGGTTTTAAAAAATCTCAGCACCTCTTGGAAAACAGGCCACTTATTTATGCACGTAGGTAAGGATTAGGTACCTAACTTTAGGCATCTACTTTTAAAAGCCTTGCCTGTGATTTTGTATCTTTGAAAGAGAAGTGTTAATAGGCAACTTTTGGGCTTGTCTACCTGGTGGGGTAATGCATTATATGGGGGTATGATTTCTAAAGTGCATTAAGGTGCTGTGCATTAATTGGTCTGTGTAGAACCTGCTGGTGTGCTTTAACAGCATGCTTTTGTATTATGTGAAAGCTCACTAGGGAACCTTTAGTGCGCACCAGCAGGATCCACAGGGATAAATTGATATGTTAGAGCGCTTTAGAAATCACACCTCTGTAGACTGCATTACCCCACCGTTTAGATAAACCCTAAAAGTAAATTACTACTATACTAGTCAAAATCAGGGCTTTGGAGCGGAGCGTGGAGCAGCAGGTTTTTGCCTGGTTTTTGCCTGGAGCTGGAGCGGAGCCGGAGAGGGATTTGTTGGAAAGGGGAAGGGAGGAATCCAGTGTATTGGATTGTCTGGTTGAAGTCGTATGGATTTTCACCTTCTTTATTTTGGGCATTTTCCACTACCGAGTTCCGTGCTCCCTTTCCTGGATGAACAGCTGCATCTAGTCTGTGGGAAGGAGAGTTGGGCTACTTGGACATCAATGCTACCTTTTGGTTCGATGCAGTAGAAAGCTGGAGAGAAATATAATCTGCATGTGATCTTAAAAACTTTCAACATCAACTCTGCAGTGCTTCTGGCTTTGTTAGGTAAAGGCCACTCCTGAACATGGATCATGCGTGCTACATCAAGATTCTTGCTGATCCTTTGGATTTGAAACACTGTAGAATGACTGATGCAAATAATCCCTTTGAGTCTTTGGTGCCTCTTTTGTGAATAAAGTGAGCAGGATTTGAACTTTAGAGAGGAGATTTCTGTTAAGTAATATATTTTTAATAAAACACTGTTTATGGCTCTTGTACAGCATTTTACTGCTTTGGCATTCTTCCTAACCAGGATAAAGCTGAGAGTATGCGTTTCTTTTGAAAGAAAAACATTTTATGGTGATCTATTCCTTAAAAACCAAATAAAAAAAACAAAACAACCCACCTCAAAATGTTTGAGCTAAAAAAAAAAATATGTAGCTTTAAAAATGAGGTGTCTGTTTTAAATAAAGATTTCTGCTCATTAAGACTTGAATTTGGAATACTTTCCTCTGCAAAGGTTCATGACCTCACAAACCCCAAAAACAGCATTGCGGGGAGCTGCATCCCAAAGACAGCGTTAGATTTTTGTTACGTGCTTTTGCAGGAGCAACAGAACTTTGAACTTGTGTTTTGGCATGATTGAGGAAATTATTTTAAAATAACGTTTTGTCACTGAATCTACATGTATTAAGGATCTTAAGTTTTTGTACGTGTTTAAAAAGCACCTTGGGTCACCATTTAAAGGGAGGACCCAATCAATACAAATAATATTCCTATCCTTTGTTTGCTTAACTGGTCTAGAATTGTCTGAAATTCAGCTATCACACTGTGAATAAACTTTTTTTTTTTTAATCGGCAGACATAATCTGGGTACAGATGAAAGCTTTTTGCTGTTAAATTTGCTTTTCAAGTACCAGGTATATGTATTTTTTTAGAATCATTGTCGGCACTTTTTAAAAACAAATTATCAGTATTTCAACTAGCTTTGGCTAGTTATTGATTGTCCAGTTCTGTATTTTTAATCTCCCTTCTGGGCAGCCCCTCTCCACAGCTCTTGTAGAAATGATGCTTGATGTACAATTGAGAATTTATCTGGCATATGCAGTAAGCAGGCTTATTGAGTGATATTTTGTGTAATGCTCAGTTAAGGTTGTTGTGGAGGATACAGTTCTAGAAGTAGCCCAGCCTGCTATATTTGTCCCTAGAACATTGTTAAAGAAATAAGCAATCACATGGTTATGAAACAAGTCAAAAACAGCTTGTTATCTTGGGTTTTTCCTCTACAGATGCGTGTCAGATTTTTTTTTAATATTGCTTGTTTTACATGACATAACAGGACATTAATTTAAAAAAAAAAAAACTTTCAGGATAAGATGGTTTCTTGTTCTATACATTGAAATAAATTTATGCGTGTCGTTGAATTTCTATACTGTATTTGTTTCAATTTCAACATATGAAACAAAAAAGAACACCTGTCTGAGACTCCATCTGCCCTTGTAAAATACATTTATTGATGTATCATTAACGAAATCTTCTTTTTAAATACTGGTCACAATGGATGGCCTTTTGGGGAGTGAAAGGTATAGCACAAACATTCCAAGTGAGCATTACAGTCATTCATGTTAAAGTGTAAGTGATGAACAACCCTTTGCATGCAGTCTTTTAATTCCACTTCATGAGTCAGATCCTTACCCCTGCTCTGACCTCTTGATTCTGGGAATAAGGGTTATAGCTGTATAAAGTAGCTGTAAAAGCCCAGGATCTGTGAAAGATTTGCAAGCCCTGACTCAAGAGTGTGTCTGGGCCAGGGTGAAGCCTCAGTATGAAGTGTTGCAGAGATTCCAGGCAGCACTACAGCTCATAGGACACCCTGTGCACGCTGTTGTAAGTTAAACAAGCTTGCAAGGCTGACCAAATTTATTCCAGGGTCACTTGAGAAGACTGGATGGATGTAAAGTGGCTTAAAGCCACCTTCGCCACCCCACATCCTGGCTTGTGAGTTCTGTTCTGTCTTCAGGGACAACACAGAATCTCTCCCCATAGGTTTAATACCATTTTTCTTTCTGTGTAGAGTGTTGTTGTTTTTCCTAAAGATGCTAATACTGGAGAGCTCATTTTTAACTTCTAAAATGGCTTTGATTAAAGGGATTGGACTGACTGGCTGCTAGGTGGGGGAAGTTAACCTGTACACTGAGTCAAAACTCACTTCCAGCTATTCTGAATCTCCCTTTCCCCAGTATCCTGAGTAGTTTTATCATGCTGAAATCATTGTTTGCAGTATAAAATGTTATATTTTGATAAACTCTAAAAATATCAAGTTGATTTTTCTTCTGGGTTTCTCATAAAATAATTGAAAAACATTTTTGAAACTAGGTCTACAGTGTCTAGCAGCAGTTTCTGAGCATTGTCTTGTTCAGTTTCAACATGAAGAATCACTCTCCCTACTTTCATAGTCCTCTCACCGTACTCCTCCCAAGATGATCTGATGAAAGGAAGCTGAAACTGCAGACAAATTTAGTGTTCTCATCAGCAGATGCAGTGAATATCTATGTTTAGTAAAAAAAAAAAAAAAGAATGGTCAGCAGATTTTATGCAGTCCGCTAAAGCAAAAAGGTTCTCTCGGAACATAGAGGGAAACCTGACAAGTCAAATTGCTCTGTTGTTTGTACCACCATATTGGGAGAAATGAAATAACTAGGTTTAGAGACAGAAACCGAAAACTTGAGGAAGAAAATTGGTATCTAAGAAAGGGCCTGAAAACTTCATGAAATTGGGAATAACAAACAATTGTGAGATTGGAGGCCTCTTTATCAATGTCACAAAGTTCTGCTTTCACCAAGTAGAAATGTCAGTCACCCCTCAGTGCTGCCATAACATGTGTGGCTTTTTTTTCCCTTTCAAGATAAATACAGATACTGATAAAACACTATTACCCCTTTGCAAAAGAATATTATGGTTTTGATGTTTTCTGGCACATAAACCTAAATCTAGACATGTGAATGGACTTGAAGGCCTATACAGACAACAAGTGTATCTTAAACATGGACCATTCAAAAGACTGAGATCTATAGCACACAGTCCCTTCAAGTGTATCTGTTCTGATGTCTGAAATCCCTTAATGTTCTGTCTTCTCGTTGCAGGACAATCCTCCATATGATAAGGGAGCCTTCAGAATCGAAATCAACTTTCCAGCAGAGTATCCATTCAAACCTCCTAAGATTACATTTAAAACAAAGATCTATCACCCTAACATCGATGAAAAGGGGCAGGTTTGTCTGCCAGTAATTAGTGCTGAAAACTGGAAGCCAGCAACCAAAACTGACCAAGGTAAGACACTCTGTATGGTGAACTTAATCTCAAGTAACTGTGTTAGTTAAAGCCAATGGATGCTTGGTATTATCGTGTGGTAGCTGATATCCCAAGGTATCAGTTGTCTGTAGGTTTGTGCAATGGATTACTCCCTCTGGGAATGTAGTGAATCAGTGGTAGTTGATCTTCAGTTATATGTTAGGATAATGCAGTGACTTAGCATGTGTTGCTGTGGAGCTCTGTCATTGATGATCAGAGCATCAGGTTTGAAATACCTAGAAACCATAGAACTACAGATTCAAATCCTAACAGAGATGGCTCCTCTCTTAGTTCTTAAAACATGATAAATTGAGTACTATCAGACTTAGTGTGGAGGTCTCTTGGATAAGACCTTAAACATTTTAGGGTACGATTGGGTTTGAGGGACTTTTCTGTTTCCATTTGTTGTCAGGGTGAGAATTTGTCTCCGTTTGATGCTGGCTGGCAGAGCTAATTTGTTTATACATTGGTATTGAATGCTGTTGGGTGATTATTGTAAGTATAACTATTGTTAGGGAGCTCCTTTTTTGTATGGGGTTTTTAGTGTTATAAACCCAAATTAATAATAGAGAGATTCTGTCTTTCATCAGAGCTTTAGTGACCACAAAGAGCTTTTTTTTATGTAGGAGGCAGAGTCTGTGCAGGTTTCCTTGACCAAAAATTTCCCTTCTCCCAGCCCCCATCTGTCAGTTTCTCGCCGTGAACTATGTGTTGACCGAACCAAATACTATAGATACATGTGGATGTCCATGAAAACCCTTACATCTCTGAGCTCCCCTTTTCACTTCCATATCCTCATAACTTCCTAATACTATGCTTGATCTCAGCCCAGAGAAGGATTTAGGAAAATAATTGAGGTATTTTTGCCCACCAGTAACTTAAATAGTCAAATAAAAGCCACCAAATCTATTATGTGGTGAGTCCTCCAGGAGGAATAGCCCTTTAGCCAAACTTGGGGAAAAATTTAAGTTAGAACTGTGCATCTGCTAAAAACTTAAGGTGGTGCTACAGCAATCTGCTGTCTGGTACAGAAGAGTAAAAGGAGAACTATACAGTCTCTCTACCTGGCCTTACACCTGGACTTTGCTCAGCAGTTTCAACTGATACTAATAATTGAAAATACCAAAATCCTCTTTTAAAATAAACAAAGGGAAAAAATAAAACTGGCTTAAAAGCAGGAATGTGAAAAAACATTTCCGATCCCACCATTTTTGCTGCATTTTGCAAGTTTAAGCTGTGTTTAAAAGAATTCAGTTTCTCTTGCAGTGGCAAAGAGTCTTGTTACCCCAGCCTTGCATAAAACTGTCTGCAACCAAATATTGGCAGTCTGGCTGAGGTGCACATTCCTCTTATCATAGAATTGTAAGACTGGAAGGGACCTCGAGGTCATCTAGTCCAGTTCCCTGCACGCTTCCTCATCCCCGTTCTGTGCTGTGAGATATGACTTTCAAAGTCTGCATGAACCAAAGGGAAAAAAGCAACATCACTCAATGCAATATCAAGATAGCTTTAAACACAAATGTCAGGAAAGGGGGAACGTTAGGGGTCTCAACTCATCCCACCTTTCATATACTAAGTGCACCTCTTAAGGCTAGACTACATATTAAGGTTACAGCCGCTTAATATTAAAAAAGATACATGTGCAGTGTGATGGAATTACTGTTAAGACTCATCTTAATACTATTTTAGGGTCTGACTTGTGTGTGTTAAATATTGCTGTAATATTTTTTAATTTAATTATGTAATGTGTGTGAAAGAGGAGCTGTGGCATACTGTAGTGTTGATATATGGCTTGGTATGCAAGCATTAATATGGCAACAGCTCTCAGATGCAGCAGTCTCATAAGTCAATTGTGAAATCAGCCAATATCAACACTACATTTCTCATACTTTATTTAAACAACTCTAGTTTAAGGTAAGCACATGTAAGCCAACCCCTACCTTAGCAGAAGAGGAATAGGTTATCCTAGTGGGATCCAAGTTTTGGTCTCAAGCTATGTCGCTTGCTCTCAGGTTGGCGAGGGATGGAGAGTGATGTGAATGCAATGTGTTACACCCTCTGGCAGAAGCACTGGATGTAGTATTCTAGTAACCACTTTGGTGAACTCTGAAATGACGTGATGGATGCCGGAGTGATGAACAGAGTCCAAATCCTCATCTGCTGAGACGTTGTTGTGGAGTTGAGGGAATAGGGGAGCATGGGGAAATCTGAGTGCATTTAAAGTTGGGAGGTATGGAGAAGGAAGATGATGTGCCTGCAGGAGAACAGTAATTTGTAGCCTGATTTGAGGCTGTTCCAAACTCTCGAAAACATGTCCAAACACAGTTATCCTCTGGTTCATCCTTATAGCATTGATGAGACTGAACCGTGTTTTAACCATGCCCCTTGAATTTTGCTACAGCCTTTGCAACATGTTACAAGAGTCTGTAGCACATTTCAGGATGCTGTGTTGTAACCACAATAGGTTGTATTGTAAAGGTTGTTGTACAGTGTAGTTGGGACTATAGTGTCAACATATTTAACATGGGAGTGATGTGTCTTGTACATTGGGAACCTCTTTCAGTACTTTATAGCTAAAATATAACTTATCAAGACCACTTTTGTCAAACTCGGTTTATAATACATATTCATTACAGTCTTTCATGCACCATCATTAAGGTTATGATTTGGTCACGGAATCCATGACTTCCGCACACCTCCATGACTTCAGCGCGCAGCCGCTGAGAGCTGCAAGGTACCCCCACCTCCCGTGGTGGCTGGGAGCTGCGGGGGACCCAGAATGGCGGGGGTCCCCTGCAGCTCGCCAGCCAGCAGATGCGGGGATCCCCCGCAGGTGGTGGAGAATCCATGTCCACTCACCAGCTGCGGCGGGGGATCCCTGGGAGCTCCTCAGCTGCTGCTGCCGGTGCAGGAATCCCCCGGAGCTCCCCAGTCCCCATGGGTGCTGGGGACCCCTGAAGCTCCCCAGTCTGGGGGGAATCCCCCAGAGCTCCCTGGGCGGTGGGAAATTTCCTATAGCTCCCGGGCGGCAGGGGATCCCTAGCAGCTCCCCAGCTGCCACAGGCGATGGTCCCTCCCAGCCCCTGGGTGGGGGAGGGGCCGCAGCTCCAAGCCACAACAGGGCAGGGTGCTCAACCCTCCTCCCTCTCTGTTTTGTCATGGACATTTTTAGTAAAAGTCATGGACAGGTCACAGCTTCTGTGACTTTTTGTTAATTGTCCGTGACAGAATCGTAGCCGTAACCATCATACCATTCGTAGAAATAATTACAGGGCAGAAATCCTCATTTAACCAGTGTTATTTCTATAACAGACCTGTTTAAAATTGGGCTTTATCATATATTGTGTGGAAGAGTTGACTATAAATACAGGAATGTAGTGGTCAGTTTACTGTAAGTGTTCTCTCTCTAAGCTTATTCTGCCCTATTTGACAATGCAGCATAGCTCATTTCAACATTCAGCACTACTGATGTGCTTGTCCATGTACGAAACAATGAGGAAGTTATGGTCCCTACCCCAAGAAACTTGCAATTGACACTTTGTCCAACTTATTTCAGAGCAGGTGTTTAAAAAACAAATCTTAGTCTGCCTTTGTCCCTATATATTATATTCCATGGCATGTATCTGATATCCAGGAATGTGCTGCCTGAAACTGTGAGATCACCTGCCTCTTGATCATCACCCTCATGTGTAATGTGTCTTGGTCCCATTTACCAAAGCTCCTGCTCGCTTTTAACACTATATAAAAGTGAATTAAAGCTTTCAGATGTTTACTAATTTGTGTACTTTTGACTATGTAATCTCCTATAAAACTTTGCAAAACCAGTGATTGATTTAATCCTATTACACTTATTTCCCTTGGTTTCCTTTGTCAGTGTTTTTTTTCCTCCTCCCAGGAAGTCTGAGTAGTTTTTTGGTTGGTGGTTTTTTATTTATTTATTTATTTTTAACTTGCAGTTCAGGATAGTTGTTGCAAGAGTCTGATAATCCCATAGCAAAAAGTTGTCTGTCTGCAGAGTGCTTTTAGCTAGAGTCTTCTGACCTTCAGGGCATTTCAAAATTTTGCTACTATAAAACTACTTCCTGTCTATTAAATATAGAGCAGTTTTCATTTGCGGACCCCTAAAAAATTTCGAATGGAGGTGCAGACCTGGTTGGAAATCTTATACATAGTCTGTGGACTCCCAGTGGTCCACAGACCACAGGTTGGAAACCACTGCTGTAGAGAGAAGCAGCGTTAGTGTTCTACAGTACTAACTATAGTAGAGACTTCCCTCTTCCCCCTGTCATACAAGTACTATATTTATCAAGCAACTGTGGTGTTGAGGGAAGGAAGCTTCCTTTAAATGATTTTTATAACCAAACATTCCAGAGAGCTGTTTTCCATTCCATATGACAGCTGGTTACCAGTGTGGAAAATATTCAGTTAATAAAGTTTTGACATAGTTGCCTGAAAAGCATGGGAGCAATGTTGTATATTGTTCAAGACCCCTAAATCTGACTGGATTGGGGTATTATGAATGAACGTCAGACAGTGAACTCTTATTTTTTTTCCTCACACCTATTTTCTGTAGATCTAAGATATTTATCACAGATAACCTACCTTCCATTTGTGCATCCTCCTCTTAATGACTGCACAGTGTAGTACAGTATGAGAATTTGTGATTGCTGCAGCCTGTCCGTTTAGCTAATTAGTTCCTAATGGCCAAAGGAACATTTAAAAAAAAAGTATCAGAGGGGTAGCCGTGTTAATCTGGATCTGTAAAAAGCAACAGAGAGTCCTGTGGCACCTTTAAGACTAACAGATGTATTGGAGCATAAGCTTTCGTGGATGAATGCCCACTTCATCGGATGCATCTGACGAAGTGGGCATTCACCCACAAAAGCTCATGCTCCAATACATCTGTTAGTCTTAAAGGTGCCACAGGACTCTCTGTTGCTTTTCATAAAAAAAAAAAAAAAAGTAGCTTTAGATTTCACAGCAGTATGTCAAGTCCATCATTTGAGTGCCGTGTCTAGTTTAGTTTAATGTGGTTAGTTAAGACTGATATTTCTCATGAAGAGCATTGACTGTTTTAGAGCGTGGTCATGAATATTGGGGTGAGAATCACCCTGAAGTATTACCAGTTTGTTCATCCAGTATATCTTCACCAGCAGGTATATTTGGCAATTCATGTCGGAGTAATGGTAGAAATTGTTTCAGGAAGTGAGAGAATATCCAATTGATTGTATTCATTTTAGACCAGGTTGTTTGTAACAATGGTAGTTTCATCCATATGTAGGTAGATAAAATATATTTCATCAATCGCGCCCATTACTTAGCCAGAAAATCTGGAATGCAGTTTGAGCTGTATGGGATTTGTCTATTAGTTTTCTAGTGTCAACTTCCAGTTTTTCCTTCTTGAGATGAACTATGAATTCAGAATCACTACCAAACTAAAATTTTGAACGGTGTGCAGTTGCTTTGTACTTGTTTATATAATGTATTGGTCTGTCTTTGGAAAGCATACAGATTTATAGGGACATTCTTTAACACATTTAAACTCTTATTTTTAGTGCATCACTTACATTTTGGCTATTTAAAAATTAAATGTTCAAGTCACTGACAGTACTTGTACTTCTTTTGACAGTAATCCAGTCCCTCATAGCACTGGTGAATGACCCACAGCCCGAGCACCCCCTTCGGGCTGACCTAGCTGAAGAATACTCTAAGGACCGTAAAAAATTCTGTAAGAACGCTGAAGAGTTTACAAAGAAATATGGTGAAAAGCGACCAGTGGACTAAAATCTGACACGATTGATGTCAGCAACGTGTGTTAGAAGATCCGGAGCAGTGCATTTCAGACACACCACAAAGCAGGACTCTATGGAAAATTGACAAGTGCCACCTTTTGGTGTTTACTTGTGGCTGTTACTAACTTTCTACAGTTTTCTTAATCAAAAGTGGTCTAGGTAACCTGTAAAGAAAGGATTAAACATTTAAGATGTTCTAGTTCTGCTTTCTTTGTTTAAAAATCACTGCTTCAGTATACTTTAAAGGATGCTGTTTCTTTTTCTTGTCAGAATTTATCAAAAATATCTTAGACTTATATTCTGCCCTTTAAAAATTCAAAAGGTTGTGGCTGTTATTTCTTCTTTTCCCTTGCAGTTCCCACTATCTTGCGTTCATTTAATTTTTCATTTAATTTTCTTCCCCCAAACTGATGTCTTAGAAAATATATTCCTGTCCTGACAGAAAATGGTTGAATGTTTGGCAGTTCTGTTTACTTTTCTCTTTAAATGTTGCACTGTGCTTTGTGGAACTTAGGTTGCAAGTTCCCCTTAACTTCAGTTTGTAACATAATAAACAAAAACAAACCCCCACAAAAACAATCAGAAACAAGCCTAGGTCTTATGTAAATCTGGCTGATGTTACCACAATAATGTTTATTAAATGGGGAAACCCAAGTTTTTGTGTGCGTGATTGAATTAAAATATGACTTATGTGCTGGTTTCGGAAAACTGAAAACAAAATTCTGTAGCAAATGAATAGTGGAATGTGATTATGAAGTTCTTTCACTTTAATTCTTAATATCTATGCAGACTAGCTAGGAAAAAACTTGCACAGAACAGCATTGCAACCACTTTACAAGAGTTTCAGAAATTGGGGACCAATAGGTACCAAAGTAACAAACTGTGTTTGAATTAAAAATCGATACTTTTTGGAAATGTTAATTTTGAAATTAAAAGCTAAATCTGACACCACAGCTAGTCATTTGAGTACATCTTTCCATCAAAATGTATTATGAAACCATCTGTATTTTTTGGGATGGGCCCTCCCCTGCCCCTCCCCCCCCCAGTTATTGTATGATTTTTTTTGAAAATGGTATGAGAATAGCATTAAGCAATAAACTAATAAATAGAATACATTTCATTAGTACTGTTCATAAATATCTGTAAGAAATAATATACTACGCTTGAGTTAGATGATTCAATGAGTATTTAAAGTAACACTCCCTCCTACCTTATTTTTACTTGAATAAGTTATTTTCCCTTCAATCCAAGGCATGCCTGCTCAGATAAAAGAACTGTTCAGGACTCAATACCCTTTATAATCTAACTGTTTTTCATATTTTTTAGCTGCCTGTTTCCCCCACCCTAAATCTAAAGTGAGGTCATAGCCACACAAACCGCCTTCTCTTCCCAACCATTAGAATTTTGATATCTTATTGAACAAGCAGGGTTATTTCCAGAAATTAGGAGTGCATATCATTTTGATGTGCAGGAAGCTGTATTAGTAAAATTCTTCACACCCAGATGGTCATTTGTACTCCTACGATCAGCATTAGTACAGCATCTGTCTTTGCAATGTTTCAGGACTTGTGTGTGTAGGGAGCAGTAAGAGAGACCCTTTTGGTTTTAATGTCTTGTATGTTTCCTGTCTTTCTGCTCAGCCCTTTTTATCTAGATCCAGCTTTGATTTAGAATTTAGCATAAAGAATGACAGCCCAGTACCTCTGTTGAAAAGTAAAACATTTTATAAGTGAGGGAGCTTAAGAACTTTTATGTTTAAGTATTCTTAGACAGATTCTTTGGCAGGTAAATAAAGTTAAACCATGGTCACCTTATTTAAGGAAACTTGCATTTCCTAAGTGTTTTCAGGCTTGGTGAGAGCACTTGTCTATTACCAAATTTTCACATCTTTGTGTCTTCATTTGCAGAAAGTTGGTACTGATTTTGTTTCATTCACGCTCACTGATTCATAATAAAAAAAATGCCAAATTATCTGTCAAACTGAAGTGTGTGTAACTTCTGCATCAGATACCTAAATGACCCACTGTTTTTCTCTCCTCTTGATCACATCTGTTAGCATGGAAACTTGCCATTGCCCAAATTATCCTTTCATATTTATAAAAACTGTAGCACCTGTTTGTCACTCTTGTTTCTATAAAAAAGTGAATATACCTTCTGATTGTAAACCTCTCAGGTTAAATGCTGCATACATGTGAATTGGTGCCATTAGATACCACTTAAAGGGAACTGAAGAGGTTGGATAATTCCAGGAACTGCAGTTCAAATTCACATCAGCCTATAGCAAGGTCATGCCTATTATCTAATTTTATGTCTAGGGATCAGGTGGAAGAAAATATTAATCTCAATTCTCTTCTTGCTTTCTTTATAGTCCAGTACCCAAACCACAAGATGTGAAACACAAGTAGTAGCTTTTACTTGTAGGCGACTCTCTTTGCAAAAGATACAGACCAAATAAGTGTGTGTACTGTATGGTTGAAGTGGGAGTAGACATATGAAAAGTACTAAGCCAGTCCTGTGTTAACTCAGGAATTCAAGCTGTTCTCTCTGGTTCCCTAAGCCATGCTCAATTCTAAACATGCAGTTTAAGACCCCAAACTACAGCATACTGGTGAAACTATACACCCAGGAGTATTGGTATAGGCTTTCTGCAATTCCATTCTGCTACCTGTAATAAAAATGCTCTCAAAGGCTTTGTGGCATGGTTTATTTTTAGACAGACTGAATTTTGAAAATATCTGTATATAGGGAAAGCTTATAGTTGGTTTGTTGAATGTTCTTATTGCGAACTTCATATCTCTCAAGACTTTCTCAGAACACTTTATCATTTCCCTATTTACATAAAAATAGTTCAGCTAAAAGTCCATGTACTTAAAATGAGGAGTTCTTTACTCACACTTCCACTTTAAAGTGCTTTCAATTCATTTGAATGTTAAAATCCTGTTTTTGTCCTATTTATTTAGAAATATGGACATTTACAAAATTGTCTAATATTCACAGTACAGAACAATGGGTTAAGGCCACTCTCATGCTGATTTCACGGTGTTCAGTTAGTGTGAAGGAAGCAGAAAATGAGTACAAATAACAGTACAATACACGAAGAGAAGGGATGTTCTGATGATTGTGTGATCAAAGCAAATTCATAGTAAGTACTCATGAGAATAAATCAAAGGTTAAAAATTATGTAATAAAACAAGGTCATGTCGTGTAAAAATCTGAGATACAGTATTAGATAATCCACAGTGCCTCCAGGCATATTACTGCACATGAACAACATATAGTAAACACTAGGTGGCACTCATACTTCTAACAGCACTTTTACAATCTCATTCTTTCATTGTTGAGTGCAACTCTTACATCCCTTGTTCTTTTATTATACTTTATCACAATCAGTAACCTGGAAACTTTACCACTAAATGTAAAGACTGGTGTTAATGTAAAGTTGTTTGACATATCAAGCACTTCCAAAAATTGGTTTCTTTTGTAATTTTGCCTCAGCCACATTGTACACCATGTACCTATTACAATAGAGATTGTAAATCTGGAATTAATACTGTAGCCTAATCTAAGTGTATGGAATTGCCTGAAAGGTGCTTGATATAGCAATCTTAATGTTAGTTTTGTTTGTTTTTTTCCTTGCACAAAGAAAGTTCCCAGTTGGCTAGGAACCGGAGGCCAAATAAGTCCTGTTAATCATGGAAAAAATCATGCCCTCTGTGCACACAGCCCTGGTATGACTGGGCCCTTGTAGACTTTGATTTTTCTACAGGTTATGCATCAAACAGTTAAGACTTTATAAAATAAAGGCCTTGTGCTAAAATGAGGTTTGAGTTAGCTAAAAGGGGAAAAATACTGGTCAGGCTTGGATGAAGTGCATTTTTCCATCTCTTTCTATATCCAAGATGGCTGAACAACACTGACACATTAAACTGCTTTGGGCAGACATGAAGCTCAGAAAAATCTCATACAACAAGGAGGATTTTTCAGAAAGTATCAGAGGAATGAAAACTGACCTGTAGTGGAACTGTAGAAATTAGAAAGCTTTGATGATAATCAGAGTTTTTCCCTTCGCATTGTCATTGCTCCCTCTAGATGTTAGAACAGCTTTATGTTTACAGTAAGTGGCCATCACAGCACGTAGAAAGGGCAGCGTGTGGTGTATTGACAGGTGCCGGTAGGATTTTTACAGGTAACAGTCGTCATGAAATAGCTAATTGGGTCAACGATTGCTGTTCTTGTAAAATCATGTGAAAAGCCTGTCTGGAAGTGCTGGCATTAAAATTTTCTTTTGACTGCGTAATGGCTAGAGCCTACTTAAATAGAACAGTAACTCTGCATCCAGCTACTTGCATGGAGTATGACTGAAGACATCAGAAGGCTAATACAAGTTGATTACTTTTAGTGAAGAAAAAAATGTTTGCAATGACCATTCCTTTTCTGTAGGCATGAGTAAAGATGCAACAGTTCAAGTAAAAAAATGAAAGGAAAATACAGTAATTTCTGAAGGGAATGCTCAAAGTTACGAGGCTTACAGAAATCCGCCTCCCTTGCCCAGGTGAGTCTTACTTTCTAGGCTGTGTATCTTTTTGCGACTACTCCCTGCCACTGCACACAAAAAAAATCTTTCAAAAAGTTGATGCATGATAGCACATCCACCCGTGGCTGGCAATCTGCTATTGCAGCATCTGCAGGAACTGTTTTTTAGTCTGACAGTTGGGCCTTGGCTTTCAAGTTAAATTTTGGGGTGGAGCGTGAATATGATACACAAAAGATATCCATCCCTTTCAAATCAGCTGAGGTGTCTTACAAATCTGATGACAATGAGAGAGATACAGGCTGGGATATTGCCGCTAGGTGCATTGGAGAGTCCAGGTATTTCTAATTAGTTTATACGCTGCTCCCAGTCAATTCACAGTTCCTTTCTGCGTTAATGAGGTATACCATCAGCTACAGATTCCCCCCCCCCCCTCTCGCTACAAGCTATATTTATCTTCTCTTGCTTAAAGATTTTTAAATGCACAAAGTTGAATGTTCCTTGTTTTGTAATAGCTTTGCAACTCTGGATTCATTAATGTTTGGAGTTCATGCAAGCGTTCCCATGACTGTGAAAAATCATCTGGTCCTTCTCCACAGCCTCCAACAGGTGGAATAGTGGGGTACCCCGGATGTACCATCAGTTCAATTGTGACTGTTCTGCTTTGCTCATGTTGAGGTGAAAATTGAGTCATCAGAGAGTTTTCCTTGGTAGCAAAAGCCGCCACGGCAGTATCAATGGCGCTCTGAATGTTGCTGACAGACATGTTTTTGCCCATGGTACTCAAACCTATATAAACGTCAGCCCACCTGTTGGGGGGAGGATACAAAAATTAATATGAACAAAAGGCATGAAATGTAGCTGTAGTGTAGACTTCAAAAAAAAGTTAATTTCAAATGATCTTCTGTTAGTGTAAATATTTAAATACAGAATAATACCAAATACAACTACCACTGAACAGGATAACTCATCCTTTCATTATTAACAGACACCAACACAGAGCATCGTCATTTGACACATCAGTTTTTGAACAAAGGCCCCATTCCTGCAGGCTATGCGGTGTGGGAGGACCCTGCTCCCACAGAGCCCCAATGAAGTCAACCCTTGGCCCGCTGCTTTGGTTGGAGAATGTTTAAATGGGGCATGATACAGCTCTTGCTGGGGCCCTGTGGCTGTAGACCCACTTTAGAATGGGGGGAGGAAGGATGGTGACCATGCAGGATACTGTTTACTACTGTATATGAAAATAGTGTGTTTTTATTGAAAGTTTCATTTTTAAAAAATGAATAAATCATAATTTCAGGTTATAGTTACCTCTAATAGCTTAATTTTGCGTAAAGCTGACTCTGTAAAATGGGAAAGCTTGCTAACAGATCTGCCCCCATGTATAGCAGAGACATGCTTGCTTACTTTAGGGACAAAATTACAGGGGTTTACTACAGTTCGTACTGAAGAGCCAACAAACCCAACAGGGAGGCTATGAATTCTTACACATTAGCAACAGAATTGTTAGCTATGTTCCAGCTGCAGGGCCAAACTCTTGATGTTTCACCTGTGCAATCCCAAATGGGTTCAATAGGTGTAAGGGAGTGCAGAATTAAAGTTCCCAGGTATAACTGAGGACAGAACTTGGCCTAGGAAGGCCACTTGTCTGGTGTTAAACTGGACGGTCCTCTTTTTGAAAGATTTGTCCCGTCTGGTACTGGATGTGGTTTTGTCTGGTATTGGCTGGGAGAATGCTGCTCTGCCCCCTCCAGCTCTTAAAAATCGCACCTCTGTGTGGCATGACCTTGAATGCACCATATGTACAAGATCATGCCGATGGGGGCAGGGCAGCAAGCTCTTAAAGACGGAGCCTCCTCTGTGTGGCGTGACCTCACGCACTGGGCATATGAGATCATGCCAGCAGGGGCGGGCCCACGCTGCTCCCGGAAGCACCAGAATGTCGCGTGAGTGGCTGCTTTAATCTGTATTACTGCTAACGGTGCATAAGCAGGCAAGACCCCAACGTGGTTTTCAGATTTCAGGCTGAGTTTGCAGGTCTGACAGCAACTCAGTCTTTTTAATTGTAAACTGATGAAATTTGACATAGCACTATTACTACACAATAAACATAGGGTCATATCAATTATACAGAGTCATGGCCAGAGCACTTTAAGAACTTTGGTTTGAACGGCCTGCACAGATGCTAGAGATCAGTTTCATGGGTCTCTGGCTCTGCCTTTTGGCTTCAGCCATTTTGTCTCCCTCCATCTCTCTGTGATTGTTTTTTGTTGCATGTGTTTGTTTTATCACAGTTTGCCGCCTTTGGCCAGCAGGAGACTAGATGGAGAATGGAACTAAAATAGACACAAACAAACAGAAGTTAGAGAGACAAGGTGGGTGAGGTAATCTCTTTTATTGGCTCAACCTCTGTTAGTGAGGCAAGCTTTTAAGCCACACAGAGCTCTTCTGCAGGTCCTGAAGCTGAAAGCTTGTTTCTCTCACCAACAGAGGGCTGGTCCAATAAAAGATATGACCTCACCCACCTTCTCTCTCTAATATCCTGGCACTGACATGGCTACAACACTGCAAACCGAAGTTGATATTTACATTTTTCCTCATGTCTCACTGGGAGCCTGCAGTGCCACATATCTACCACCCTGTGGTGCTGTGGGAGGCTATAAATCAGCAGCAGTTGTAGGCCAATTGCCTGATTCAAGATGGTGTTTCCTGTAAGTAACCTAGTGCTTGTATCTGTGCCTTTGAGTCCAAAAGAGAGACAAAACACTACAGAAACTGCCCCTTTGAGGTAGGAGAATGCCTGCGCTCGGTTTCTTTAATGGTCTGCGTGGGAAGATGAAGAACATCAAGAACTGGTAGGATCTGAATTCTTTAATATATATATGTGATGGGTGTGTCTGTCTTACCTTATTCCATGTCTTGTAAACACATCTACTGTGTCAAGGGAATCTTTTTCTATTCCCAGATAAAAGTCCATTAGAGGTGGCTCTATCCACGCACAGCTGTGAAGGCCTAGTTCTATTGGCACACGTGTATACTTGATCTCATACTCTTCTAACACCTGTGCAAACACATGTCTAACCTCTACAAGAAAAGCCAGAGAGAATGTAGTTAGAAATTAGATAACTAGGAAATCCGCTCCCCTTTTCCTTACG